ATTGAAAAAACAGCTACGTGCGACTCAATGTGAGAAATAGACACATGTATATTTATAGGTGCATGTAGAGTATTCATTATATGATTATGCTAAATTATAGAAAATTCTCTATCTCAAATTACCCCGCCACCTCCAGCTTGCCGTTACCAACGACCGCTCCCGTCTAAGTACATATATACCGGAAGTCACCAATAGGGGTGACAGGCCAACCCGTTGGGACGAGCCAGCTTCAGCCGAAGCTGGCTGAGGGAGACGAAGGGAAGGGGGGAAGTAGAGGCAGTAAAGGAAAGGGTGAAAGTAGAAGATGAGAAGCACAGAAAAGGGGAGAAACCAGAAACCGGACGTCAGTTGGCTACATCTGGGGAGCTTTAGTAAATCAATTAATTATAACAAGGTGATTGTGAATAGTTAAGCTATATCGAGATCCGTGGAGTACAAAATCCCAGGTCTTCTGAGCCTACAATAAGTAGGGGAGATAGGAAATGGGGAAGTGTCTCTGGGCAGTGAGTGGTTCGTTGTGGCAGAATCATTTTGTTTGTTTGTGACATGTCCTTGGAGGAGTGTCGGGCGTATTAGCGTATACACTGCTGCAATTGGAGGTTTTAAGATGAGGAATGAGTGTATTCTAAGGATCTTCAATCCCATGATTGGAGGACGTGACAACTTTCGCCGTGAAGTTCACACTGGAGCCTTAATTATACTGGCACTTTCTGTCTCTGGGTCGGAAGGTCAGCTCAAATAGCCAAGTACTATCCCTTTGAACTATTCTAATTTGCAATGACAGCACACACTCTCCGCCGAAGCACCAGGTCAACCTTTGAATTATATTAAACAGCGATCATTAGAGCATACACCGAGTGGTACTGTAATGGTCAACTGTCAACTTGTCTTCCGTGTAATCACTGGCCAGATAACGTTATTCGGTGAAATTCCAGGTTCCTGATTTTCGTCGATTAACTTACTATCATGCAATCATCTTTGACCTGAGCTTGAGGTGGGTGCGGTGTCTTCTGTTATCGCATCGCATCGTCCCATTTGACTCCGGGGCATGCTCTCGAAGACACAACATGCTTGCAGCATTGCATGAAGCTTCTTTCATCTTGTGTTACCTTGCAGATTACTATTCTGGAACAGAATCTTGACTCTCCAATCTGCAATCATGCAATGAGCTCATTCTGTGATCTGGCATGCGAGTCTGGTCACGCGCCAGTGTCTAGCTAGTTTGCTAGTCCTGCGTCATGAGCTCAAGGTATTTTTCTGCCCAATGTCATCAATATTTTTATCCGAAAGCAACAACTGGTGGTATATGAGCTTACCTTGGCATTCTGGGATGTCATTGTGATATAGAAGCTGTGCAGACTGTTTCAATTTGGAAACAAGACCAAGGTTGCAGTTTGCCCTTTTCCATCTAGTTGATATTTTGGTATGTGTCATATCTTTGTAAGTAAAGAGGCTGTATTGAGGAGGGTGAGCTTGTCCTTCGCTTTCCATAGCTGGGGCATTTATCTTGGGCTGCTCATGTCCATGCCACTGTCCTCATGGATCGTTCTTTAGATCGTGCTAGGTTGTGCTTTGTGCCTTGTGACTGAACGATCTAGCCAGCGTTTATTTCCAACATATTTTGAGTGAATCGAGCTATATGCTTCCCATTAAGGCATATTATGACCGATAAAACAGCAATATCTGGTTCGAAATCCAGCAGCCATTTTTCTGGGAGTGGCCTGATTTTGATTACTCGTTGGATCAGTCATATCGATTCGCTAAGCTTCGAGTGTGCAAATCAATGAGAATCATCTTTGCCCACAATGCACCATTCACTTTCTCCGTCAACGGGTGTGCAAAGCCCGAGGAACCCAGAAAGTCGTATGGTAGGCTAGAGTCTATCTTACCTGGTGACAAGTTCATAACTTTCTATTATGTAGGGTAATTTAGTCCTCATAATATGTTTCTCAATGCCAGTTTTCTATTTCATCGTTATGTGACTTGGCCTGATATGTTGTTCTTGTTTGTGTACAGTTATATCTAAAGAGATTGGGTATCCTTTGTACTGTAAAACATATTCTCATTTTGATAGGACTGGTGTCTAGCCTTTGTGGCTATCCCTTTGATTTTAACCCATGGAATATTTTTTTCATTTTTATGAGCCCACTTGGCTCCCATGTCTCTTGATTTTCCTATTGAGCTCAATTTCTGTGAAATTTAGCTCAAATTTTCTGATTTTTTATTCATATGTAAGTGAACTTGTATAATTTTTCTACACTTATGGTATATATTATAGATTTTATAAATGTGAGATTATTTGTGAAAATTTTTAATTTATCATTATACATATTTTTTCATGAGTGAGAAATGTTATGTTTCGGGTTTCAAGATAAGAAAGGTTGCTATGATGATGTTATAATATCATTTCACTCAAAAGTCAAATTTTTGCATCAAGTTTGTGGTGGAAATGAACTTGACGATGACAAAAAAATTGCTTTATGCTATCAAGTAATGTGTGAAGCTAATTCTCAATTATTTGCAATACACAACAATTTGATCAGCGACATTCATTGTAAGTTCAAATATGTTGTTAATGGGTTTTTTCAACTACATCCCAACCTCAAAAGTGATATAAGTAGAATTTATGGAATAAGATTAGTTTCAATGTTAACAACTGTAATGTATCAGCTTGCTTGTTTAGATTCTTGATAGATACAATGTGTGTGTAACTTTGGTTTGTAACAATTTAATTTTTCTTCTTCTTTAACTACTTGTAATTGATGTTATTAGTGGATGTAAGTCATCTATAGATAATCACAACCTAGATTAGATATATATTGTTGATTTTTATGATAATGATATGAAAAGTATTGATATTATTGCTGTTGTTATAGGTCATAATTTAGGTGACATGTATCTACTTATATATATATCTAAAATATGAATAATAAGAATATCACATCTCCTTGATAGAGGTTATAAAGTAAAATATTGTCTAAACTTCAATGAAAAAGATTGCAAAACTCATTTTCTAATTTTCTGGAAAATCATCCATATGGAAAAGGAATTGATTGAAGACTTATCTTATATATATACGATTCTGCTCTTACAGATCTTCTCAATCATTTAAATTGAGTTCACTATTGATTAGATTTTGGCAAGTTTCAGCTCATCTGATTGTATGAAATGATTTTCTTGCCTTGACAGAAAATCTTATTTTCAGTGAGGTTCACGGTGAAGAACAAATTTTCACAATTGCCTCCAAGCGATTCTCATCACTAACTCCATAATTAAATTGGGCAGTCCAGGCAAATAAGTTGACTCTTGAGGGGCAAAAGGCTGATTTACACGTAATTAGGCAGATTTGGATAATTAGCCAGAAAGAGGTTTTCTGGGAAGGTTTCCAGAGAAAGAAAGTCTCACGAAGGATGATGAGGCGAACACTTGATGCGTTCAAACTTGTCGATGTATTTTACTAATTGCTATTCCTGCAGGAAACCCACTCCAGCCAGGAGAAGATTCTCGGCGTTGTGGCTACTGTATAATGTGTGGAGAATGTCTGCTTCACCAACAAGGACGTGAATTAAATAAACTTTCTGTTCGTTTTTCTGTCAATTCCTGGTCTTGAAGTGTTGTGTCTGTATTTGTTCGAGTGTAGGCCAAAACGAGTGGAATGGATGGTCGTAGGGAGGAGAAGCTGTTCAGATTGATCAGGCAAGCCATTGTCATTGATAGTCGTTGTCGCTATGTCTAGGTTGGAAGCGAGGTGCAGGAGGAAGAGCAAGCGGTGTTGAGATGAGAAGATTTCGGCTTTTGCCCATAATATTGTGGATCTAATGGCCTTTCGTGCAATTATTGCAATGGAACATCTTCTGACATTATCTCGTTGGATTTCGTGCTAAACGATTTTATAACACTTGCGTGAGGGTCGATAATCTTAACTTCTTTACCACGAACAAGTTTTTTTGTCGCATCGTCACTATTTTCGAACCTTGGCTCTCATGATTTGTTCTCAGCAGTTATCATATTTTCTTCTACCGTAACTCTCTAGTTCAGACAGCCTCCCACAAATCACGATTGGAGTAGATAATAGTTTCTTGTTATGCTTAGTCTAGTCGTAACTTATTTAGTATGCAGGAAAAGCATTTCCAGCTTGAAGGTGATGCTTTTTTCTGATTTCGATTGAGGATTAAGTTGGATGATCTATTTTATAACCTTCACTTCAACCTGCCGCGTGGGAATTCAGCTGGCACAATCTAAAATCACAAAATTAAGTACTGATCGATGGCGAGACGTATCATTCCTTGCCCTCCAGAATGAGCAGTTTTCTGTAATTCATCCTCGACAGGCTTCTGCCTCTCAGATTTCATCGGCCGTCACTCATTCCAACAGATTTTCCTACATACCCTTCCCAAATACAACATGTTGGTAACTTTTTTGGAAGACTCACACGTAGCCCATCGTGATGCACATCTCCTTTATCTCCGCCATTGCAGAACAATGGCGTGAAAGGCTGAAAGGCCGGCCGTTCAGTATGCAATATCTCCATTCAGCGCAGACTGTCTCATCTTGTAATACGATTAACAAGCTCATAGATACGACCAACGTACGCTATTCAAAGAAACGTTAACTGCTCACTACAATGAACTGGAATACACTTTCAATTTTGGAGCATATGAGCTTTGAATGGGCTAGTTGGCTGGAGTCCAGCTCATCCACAATCCGCCATTTCCACGATCGTCATTGTTTTACTGCGATAGAGGATGTAGGCATTCGCATAGAATCACGTTATGTATGCAACTGCTGCGATGAGGAGGCCAAACGAAATCTGACACATACATTGTCGGGTAAGACGGACCAAGCATGGCAAATACTGCTACATCAAGGACAAGAACGGTTGATAGCATGATGAGAGAATGTGTGAATGAAGAAGACAGACATGTCTTTCGCCTACCGCAAGGGAGCACAAGATGTAAGTGATCACAAAGAAATTGCCATAAACTGATTTCAGACCGTGTGGAAGTATTCTCAATCATTCAAGATGTTTTCAAAAGACATTTGACTCAGCTGACCAAAGTTGGCTAAAGAGTAAAACTAATGTGACGGCGAAATACTATGCTTACAAACGCCTGGAAACTGAAAATCACACGACACTACCTGAACCCCTGCTGCACCCGGAAATTCCTGAGTCACGTATGATGGAAGGGGTGACCTAATCTGAATCTATAACTACAGTAGAAACTACAGATCTCCACAAAAACTTGTACGTGAGGTACAAGATTATAATTTACACTCCATCATCCCAATGAGTCTTGAGAGAGGACTATTGCAGAAATTCTACATTGGCGGCCACATCAAACACAACCTACAATGGAGAGCCCGTTGTAGATCCGCATCAATCCTTAAAGTACAAGAGCTTTGGCAAGTGACGGCAAGTTTCTGCACAAGAAACAAAGTTTCAATTCAAAATTCTTGCTGCACGTCGACTCGATATCCGTTCTGATCAGCTACGGAAAAACTTAAAATACCAATTGCTAAAAAAGCCTACAACTTCATACTTACTTGTGGCACCCCATCCAAATGTTTTGGTGGCAGAAACAAAACGAGAAGAGTGTCCTCCCTGCGATCAGAAATGTACAACTTTTCAGAGCTTTAGACTTTTCTCGACACCCCAACAACACCACATATAAGAAGGCGATTCTATCTTCTATGCAACGGCGCTTGCATACGCTTGCAAACAATCCACATGGCTGTACCTTGGTCATTATTGCCGTGCCCCAGAAGACGCCACGAAGCTTGTCCTTCACATCCACCGTTGCCCTCCTTGAAGAAGGGCCTGAAAGTTCATTGAGGAATTTGCGTCAGTGTCAGCAATCACACAGGCTTCCAATCAAGACAAAAGCCCAGTCAAAAGTCAAACTAGAAGGCATGCAAACGCACCTCCTTGGCACTCATGTCGTCTGTGCAGGATGTTGGCCGTGGAACATTCCTTCCGTTTGTGTTATCTCTTTTAAAGCCATTGGCAGCTATCCGATCTGCATAAATGATGGACAATGCATCACATCAACTTTGCTGAGTGAAATCAGGAGTGTGTAACGTTGGGAGACAAACAAAAAGAAAACGATTCAGAGAATTGTTGATTAAGCAAAGAATAAAATTATATTTCAGAATAAAATAAAAAGACACAACTTGAGCAAAACGAAAGAGGGCAAGTGACAACGAGTAGGTTGTTGTAAATATATACCTGACAGCGCCTGCTGCAGCTGCATTTCAGATGTTAGAGGAGGGGCCATATTATCAGGAATGGAATGACCGTGGCCAGCTGATCCAGCGCCATTGCCAGACTGAGCAAGACCACGGAGGAGAGTTTGCACCTCGGTAGAAAGTGCCAAATTTCCCCCATTTTGTACAGATCCACCATGGCTTAAGTTCATGGTTTTGTCTCTTTCCCTCTCCAATGCCGAGAGAGATTCCTCACTTGCCGAATTTGCAATGCTGGTTGTCTGTCTTGGAGAGTAAGTAGTTGACCACGATCGACCATTGGACCCAGCAAGTTGCATGATCTGGGAAGCCTAATCAGACACGAAGAGTGTTTAAGATAAGATACGTCACTTACAACAAAGTTTGTGCGAATAGCTTTTATCATTAGAACGATTGCAGATTAAGGGCACGAAAATTACTGTATCCAGAACTTTGAAGGAAGTGTCGTTGAACAACGAGAAATTTGGTCAGTCAACCCTCCAGATTGTGATTTACCTTGTCCGGGGGAACTTCGTCGAATACGTGAGCCTGTCCACCATAAAATATGGTGAGCTGTCGACTGGGAGGGGCAGCAAACTGGTGCCTGTCAAAATGAAGTTTCTTCTTCTTAGAAATATTTCTTCAAAGGGGGAGAAGTTAAGACTTCGTCAATAAAAAGAACACGAGGGACAGAAAGTAGCTTTACACAGTGCGTTTAAAGGCGTGAAACAGAGAGATACCTGGCTGGTATCATGGAATCTGAACCTGCGCTATGGCACGAGACTTTCAGTCTGCGAGGTGTGTTGTGATTTGCAGGTCCACTTGATGCACCGGCAGTAGCTTGAGTAGGCTGAACAGTATTTAGGAGTCCACCCAATGGTGAACCTTTGATTCCTGTACGCGATCCTTCATCTGCTGCCGGGGGAACGATAACAGGCGTCATATCGTGCTCTCTTCCAGAAGCAGATGCTCTTTCCGAGGTCTGGCCAAGGTGGCTAAGTCGGGGGGGTGCTGTTGTTCCGACGTTAGGCCTGGGTCGCTCGGGCTTTTTTGACAATCGAGATGAGGGTTCAGGTTTCGGTGCGGGTGTGTGCAGCAGCGGGCTCCCTTTGGCTCCAACACGTGGTGGCTGCATGCTCAGGCGCAACTCGTCCACTGTCGGACCAGTAGTCCTTGTCTTGCACTTGTCATCTTTGTTTTCCACTCGTGCCACCTGCACAATCTGCTTCTTTAGATACAGGATTTTTGAGAATTGAGATATGAAATGGACTTGGATCTTAAATTTGATGCAAACGAGGAGGGTGAAAACGTACACTTGGTGGAAAACAATAATTCGTGATCAGCGTTTTGTGTACTTTAGTCTAAACATCGGATTTATATCACCCAAAAGATCCCAGTTGGCACCGGCTCCCGCAGTACCTTAAGAGGACGAGAGTTCTCGAGAGCTTCAACGCTCATTTGAAGGCGTTCTTGCAGAGATTCCCTCCCTATGGGACTCTCCCTCCTCTTGATTGACTTGTTTTCAGTTTCAGGTTTATAGAAAGCGCTCTTCACTCCATGATGTTGCAAAGCGGCCGGCCCGACCTTGGCCCTCAGCCAGCCATCCGCAACACCTACACGAAGCAATTACAGGGATGGCTGCTAGTGAGAATCTTTACAGAAGCAATTTGGCTCATACTAGCGATTCTGCGAGGTATGAGAATATTCAAGCCAGAAGCTTTATCTAGTTTTAAAATAGAAGTAGGAGTCCATCCTTCTAAAATTTCGTACTTGATCGATTGTATATCGAACTTGGGCAGCAAATGTTCGAGAGAGCCAACTAAGAAGAAGAACACTATCAAATTAAGTGAAGATTCTTTCCGGAACCACCTTAACAGCAACTGATTACACTGCAATTTCAAGGCGTAGCTTAAGAGATGAATCCAGCCTGAACAAACAACTTTTCCAAGATTCAACCGAATACCTGAACCAGGATCTGACGTAGACGGGAAGGCCGAGGAGAATGGTGGCAGTATGCCAGGTGCCGAGCAAGTTTCGAATCGCCCACTAGTCCCTGACGAAGCTCTTGTAGATATTTCGGCCTCTCCATCATCGTCAAATCCTGCGGTATTTCTTCTAGCCACTCCGGGAGACGGTTGAGGCTGTTTGACAGTTGCGTCGTCTTTGCGGCCAATTCCTAAAAAGTCACGAAAAACAGGTGGATCTTTCTCCGCCATCACAGCGGTCATTGTCGTTGCTTGCACCATAGGTTCAAGTTCATCATTGAGTGTAAGAAATGTTCACAAAGCGATTCCTGCGGTTCGACAAATCTGCCCTTCAGTTCTCCATTGGCAGGAAATTACCACAATTAGGTGACAAGACTAAAAAATAACTCGGCCTGCGGTGGCACTTGATGCACAAGAGACTTCGGTTCTTATGAGGTAAATGCCCCCATCTACCAGACTAAGCAACAAACATCCGATATGTCCTTCTGTTGTGCTCGGCAAGAAAGGTCAACCGACGACGGCAAATTATGACAAGCCATGCCTACATAATTACAGCTTCGCAATGTATCCATCATCGGCAGACCCACTGACAGCTTCGCGAATCTCGAAAGAAATAAGCTCGACTTCGGAATGACTATCAAGCTATGTTCGCAAGCACAGGTGGCAGAAGAAGCAGAAAAGATGTCACTCAGGGGAAGAATGCATGAAGTGGAGATGACCAGACAACATATCAGGTCAAATAGGAAAACTTTCTGCAACTCCAGAGTTTGGAGGACCAAAACCAGGCCACGAGAGTAGCTTATCGAAGACTGACCTGGTCGAACAGTAGAGAGTGCCAACGAGGTCGTTAGAAACCATAAGGTTGCGCTCAGACGTCGAGATTGCAGGACTTCACGGGGGCATACTCTCTTCGACCAAGCTTTCGAAGAGAGAGGGAGCAATTGCCGACCTCAGCTCAAAATCTTTCAAAACCGGAGGTAAGGGGCTCAGGTCGCACAAGAACCACTCTCAAAGGCAAAAGAGATGGAGCCGAGCGAGTTCGTCCGACATCCTTCATGCGTCATGATTCCAGCGATTCAAGCGACTTCCGAACGTCCAAGCATAACGACATGTGCTTCGACCGCGGTCGAATGCAAGCTAGAAGCTGAGCACAATTTGGGGTACGAAGATCACGGAAGAGAGCTAAACAGCACAACCAGCAGATGACGCCAAAGCCCGCACCCGGCCAACAACAGTCCTCAGTCGAGGGATAAAAGATGACAGCGAGACAGCAAAACCTTCAAACCCCGTAAAGCGAGTCGAGTGCGTAGGTCGGGAGAGGGAAAGCAGGAAATGCCAAAGGGTAGGCTCAGCCCAGCCCGTATCTCCCTCCTCCTCCTCCTCTTCTTCTTCTTCTTCTTCTCCTCCTTGTTTCTCCTCTTCGGCGACGGCACCTAAACAAGTTGCGAACAAGGAAGCTTCGAAGAGAGGTACACGAAGCGAGCAGGTAGGTCACATGAGCAGCAGCAAGGTCTGAGAAATGAGAGCAGGGCGACAACGGCAAGCAGCCGCAAGTATGGAGTAGAGGAAGGTGAGACAGAGGAGGAAGGAGGAAGGGAGGGGCCGAGGGCGGGTAGCAACGAGAATCGGGAGAAAGCCAAGCACCGCGTTCGACGACTCTTCCGGCACCAGCACCAGCACCACTTTGACGAACCGAAACCACCAGGCGAGTAAACCACCAAGTGCACCAATCTCACCGGCAACCCGCTCCAAAGTAAAAGAGCGAGCGACGCCACCCTTTACCAGAAAAGCTCGCCCCTCTCTCTCGCCTCCCTTTCCGTCGCCATCTTTTTCCTCCTCCGCTTTCCCCTGTCCCCTCCCCTCCCCTCCGCCCTCGTCGCCGAGCACAGCCCAGCCAGCCCACGTTGCCCTGCCCCGCCCTGCCCTGTCTGGGCTGGTCTCCAATTAGAGCCAGACGTCACCTCTCACGAGCCTGCGGGTGACGGGAGGCTCGACAGTCAGACCCGGTTCCAGCAGCGGTGGTAGGCGCTGCGCCAGGGCAGGCAGGCAGGCAGGCAGGCAGAGAGAATCTGATCGCAGAGAGAGCGCGACGGAGCAGAACGAGGATGCGGATAAGTGTTTTTCAGCCTCGATTGTTCACCTGTCCCACTCCATCGCTCGTTCCTTTCGCACAAGGCGAGCGAGCGAGCGAGCGACGAAGCAAAGAGAGGCAGATGGATGGCAGCAGGGGCAGACGAAAAGCAGCCGCACAAGAAACGATCGCGGGCTTGGCATGAGCCCCCGTCCCGCCTCGCCAGCCGCGACCCGGCGGTGGTCAATGCCGCTGCTGCGCACCTCGTCCGCGCATGATGAGCACAGCCATCGCAGGCGCAGCGCAAGAAAGGCGACAGCAGCAGCAGCGGCCAGTGCGGAGCAGCAGCAGCAGCGGCAGCGCTCGCCTGTCAGCGGCCCCGAGCTCGCCCGATGTACAACGACCAGGACGAGCAGGCGGAGATCTCACCTGTGCCCCGAACCGAAGCGGAGAATTCGAATGATGATGACGGTGATCGTACCGCTCCTGCTGCGAAAGAACGGAAGAAAGGAACCCCCCTCCCCCGTTCCTTCCCCGCCACCGAAAACAACCGAAATCAAGACCGGAGCCCCGCGCAGAGAGTGGGGCCGGGCGGGGCAATTTGGCTCGGAGGACCGACCGTTTACTTCCTATCCGGGAAGTTCCTACACTCCGGGCGAAGGGTTGAGGAGGGAGTTTCCACCGCCGGGAAAGAGCGAGAAGCCCGAGAGGCGTTTCCGGGCTCAAGAGCTAAATTCGTCAAGAGCTAAATTCGCGAGCGGCAGGGCTGAGCGGGCAGCGGGGAGGTGCTACCCCGCCAGGTCGGGAAATAGCGAATAGAACGCGCGACGAGAACGCGAACGTTCAGCAGCGCGGGGGGCCCGGTCGTCGAAGCGGCCCCGCCCCTCCCCCCACCGGCAGGAGCGAAAGTGGCCGGAAGGAGAGCAGGAGGTGAAGCGGAAGCAGCGGCGAAGATGCCAAGGAGCGGCAGCAGCAGCAGCAGCGCTCTCTCTTCCCCCTCGGGGGCTCCGTCCGCCTGCCCCGGCATTCCGTTGCACTACACCGGCTCTCCAGCCGAAGCCCAAGCCAGCGCCCGTCCCTCGCCCACTGTTGCCCTCCCTCCCATTCCGGCCCACAGTCAAACTCCGCCGCTGGCGCGCGAGGATCCGATAGTTTTGACCGGCGGATGAAATCTCGGTCCGCTGTGTACTCTGTCACCTCCCAGGCCGTTCTTGTAGAACATTTGTTCGTCCCCTGTTTGTTATTCTGTGGATTCCAGGTACAGTTGACTTACTTATTGCACTAGTGGACGTCAGCTCCAAACGAGCATACGCTTTTCAACGTGTAAATCTTGGAAGTGTGGTAAACTTTGCTGCGATTGAATTTGTACATTATGTTCACTCCATCAATCCATAAATGTCATTGCATTGCCCCGAAGAGCAATACATTTCGAAAGGAGTTTATTTTTGGACAAATCACGCTTTTCCAATGATCAAGGATGAATGAAGGTTTGGTTAAAACCCTTTTAACAACAAATTCTAGTTTTTTTGAAAAAAAATTTATTTCTATCATTTTTGACTTGATTTTAACCTGATCTTAATTCTTGTGACCACTTACTGATATTTTTCTTGAGAGTAAAAATTTAGCACTAAAATTTTAGAAGGGAAAATTTTCTGATAAGCATATATCATGATTATTTAAAAAAATTTATAAACCTTGATTTCCAAAATTGACTTAAAGAATAAAGAATGAAAAGGATTTAAAATTACAGTTTCTAATCAATTTCAATTTAAAAACAAGCTTATGTTAACCTTTCTAGTAAGCAATGATGTCAAAGAAAACAGAAACATATGAAAACAATGTCATATACTCCTCGAGATAGATATGTTCTAGCGATGACAACCAGTAACAAAAATCTACACATCACCAGACAGGATGATGGTTTCTTGCAAATACTACCTTATATATTGTTCTAGATGCTATCATTTAGACTTCACTGTAATTGTGATCAAATTCCCACAAAAAAATACTCCATATATTAGACAATGAACCCTTCTAGAATCTTTGAAACGCTTGGCCATGACTTCGTTTTGCATGATCCAGAATGCAGCCGCAGCTAAGGGCCATGTTAAACTAAGACGAATACCTTGGAGCACAATTAACGGACAAGTCGTTTGTGCGTATCCAATCATTGTTCATTCCATGATAGCGTGTCTGAAGGCGACGATAGTCAAAGGGTGCTCCAATGAATAGTTGTAGATTGTTTTGTAGAAAAAGTCAGCTTCAGCAGAATGTTACATTTCTCTAATTGACTTAAATATAATAATACAAAGGGAAAACATTTCCTCTTTATGTATGAATGATCTGTCTTTTCTTTATTCTTTCCCCGAAAAAAATGGGAATCTAGAGCATATACAATCAAATGTTTCGTCTCATAGCGGGCTTTTTAGATTTTTGTTTCATCGGTCAAGGTACGCTGTAGAGACTACGTAATTAATTCGTTGCTTAAAGAAGTCCCCACAAAGTTTGGGGTGATGACAACGTAATGCAATCATGCTCAAAAAATAGATGTGATTTTATTAGTGAGTGGCTTGATGATTATTCCCCCTTAATATAAGGTACCCGGTAGCTTTCCAACAATCACAATATATTGAATTGAAAAAATAATCAATCACTTACTTTTCTCCTGTATGTACATGCGTTTGGTTCTTTATTTTTACTCTTGGTCATGAGTGCTGATAAAGCTACACCTGGTTCTATACATTATATAATTTTACCTTATATAAAGTTTCCAATGTTTAACATCTGCAGGACTAATTTTGGATTTAGTAAGTATTCTCATAATTATAAAAATCACATGTTGTCATTGTGGAGCTGAACTTTCAGCTTTCTTACACTTCACATTAACTGTTGCCCGGAGCAATAACCTCATCCAACTTTTCTCACTTTTATTACATGAGTATATCATCATCCCCATTATGTACCTTGGTGGCTCACTCACTTCCACACACTCTTATTCTCCACTCCTACTCAAAGAAAATGACTCTTGGTTTGAAATCAAAGGATGGTCCAAAGGTTTTGGAATGATATTAGTCAAAAGTTGTAGCACGAGCAGTCAATAAAATAAGTGATCGTGTTGCATTATAGACCTTTCAAATTATAAAGATCATTGCCAGTAACATGCTTGAGTGGTAAGGCTATACATAAATATACTGATTTTTAAGAAGAAAACATTATCGATTTTCGGATTATTGAGCCCAAGTGCAGACTCAAAGTCTACAAGTATTTTCTGAGAATCTCCTCGGCCTGAAGGTTTTGACCAGCCCCACTACAGGAAACAATAGGAAGATGTAGACATAACGGGAATAACTTTATGGGAGTTGCCGAGAAAGTATGAAGGTGGAAATTTGACGACGATGTTTCCTGCAGATAATAAATATCACATGGAGACAAATAATAGGTATATCCTGAAAGGGATAAAAAATTCTTCCGCAGGGGGCCTAGAGGAAATCCGCCGCAAGTAATTACGGTGCAAAAGTCAATCACCTACCACAGTAACGCCGATGGGAAGAACCGGTCCGGCGCTCTTGTAGCAACCACGCTCGCTCATTAAGGGAACAGCAGCAGCAGAACTCCAGTAGTTGGCATCCGCCTCGTTCGAGGTCGCCACGCCAGAATCTGCGACGACACGCGACGGGCACCCGTCCTGCAGGAAAGACGGGTCGCATCTCGGGCCCGCAGGTCCGCGCGGGCTGGGTCCATCCAGGAAGCTTCGTGGTTAGCCCCGAGGGCGCTGCTTCGTACCACCACTGCTGGGACCGCTGGACACTGGCGCACTCTCGTTCACTCAACCTCGTCTTTCAATGACTGGGAAATGGGGGAAGGAAAGTAAATCTGTAATAATTGCATGCGACAGGGATGAAAACAGTCAAAGGGAGTGAAGGTTATAAATACCCGCACGGAAGCGGGGGGTGAGAAGATGGGGGTGGAAAAAGGGGGCTGGAGCTGCGGCTGGTTTTATAATCCGGATTAGGGTACGAATGCCAGCGCGACCGCGAGTGACGACGGGTGCATTCTACAGTTACGAGAAAGTCGTCGACGCAGGGCTCGGATGGTTGGCCCAGAGATGTCCCCATTTCCCTCCGCTGACGTTATTCTGTGCTTCTTCCCCCCAGTTTCCTGTGAGCTTCTGCAGTCAACGATTTACTAGTCCGCATTAAAATCTCCCTGTTACATCTTCTCTCCCCCCCCCCCCCCCCCCCCACCCCCCACCCCACGGTCCCCCCCTCCTGATGATTCATCTCCGTGCTCTGCTCAAGTCCGCAACCTCCGCTCTGCTCCCTTCCCTTTCTCCCCCTCCCTACCTTTTCCCCTTGCCACCGCCGGCCCGCCATTGAAACCCCCCCTTCGCACACTTGGAGGTGGCCAGAGGCCCTTTGTTTGTGTGTGCCTACCGGCCCCTCCTCACCTCGTCCCCCGCCAGCTCGTCGTGCTGGCTCCACCTTCCCCTTCTTCTAGTTCGCTGGCTCGCTGGCTCGTTGGCTCCACCTCATCTCCAGTTCAGGGGGGCCGAGGAGGTCGTTGCCAGCAGATTGGGCTGCTTCGTTCGCTTGCGTTTGCTTTTGAGCCTGGGATGCTACCGCTCCCAAGTCGCCCTCCCCTCCCCCCTACCCCCCCCCCCCGTCAGTCCTTCATCCATCCAGTTCTTTAGACGATTCCCAATTCTAGTGAGCTGTGAATCCGAAATAGCGTTGGCCTTTCCTCCTCCTCTGCCTGCGCCCGCGAACTTTACTACCCCGAGGGGAGGGGGAGGTAACCGAGCAAGAGGTGTACAGGGGATGGGGCTAGGCTCTGCTAGCATGGCCATGGGAAACTTACCATCGGGCCCGAGGTGTCTCTCTCTGCTCAGAAGGTCTGCTCTCCGCGGGCCGATCGATCAATCCGTCCACCGAGGTCTTCCCTACTCGCCCGCTCGTTCATCGACAGTGGAATTTCAGTTCGCATGCAGATGCACCTGCTGCTGCTGTGCAAGCTCCTCCCTCACATCGGATCCCACCAAATCCGCCGCTGCTGGGACGCGCGCACTTTCCTCGTTGCTCGTGAGCAAAGTCAATTCGCCCTCGTTTTAGCCCTCGCCCTCTCTTCCTACCTCACCCCCGTCCCCCAATCCTCCCCGTCCCGCCCCCTCCTCCGGGTCTGGCGATGTTTGTCCCCTTTTGTTCCCTCTCTCCCTCCCTCCCTCCCTCCCTCCCCATCCTGAATCCTGAACATCTTCATCGGTCAGCGCTACTACGATCCTCTAATTTATTCTGGTCTACAATCGACCACAAAGCGCTTCGGCTCGGGCTCGGGATCGGGCTCGGGCTCGGACTCAGACTAAACTCAGACTCAGAGTTCGGGGCTGATCTGATCGTCTTAATTTGTCTAATGGCCCCCGGAGGAGGGGAGTGACAAGTTTTCTGATCCGGTGGCACCTTCTTACAGAGCGATTAGTGGCACGGAGTGAGGAGGGAGATGGACATCGGCAGTAATGATTAGGTGGAGGGCTCCAATCGAAAGTCAAGTCGGCTGGATTCTTGACTTATGTATGAACCGGACCCGAAGGAGGCCAGGGAACCTTCTGTCGACTTGCTCTTCCTCGCCCTGCTCTTCCGTGCTCGTCTTAAAGTCGACGCTAATTGACTTTGCTCCGATTGGGTCAGAATCGGTGCGAATTTATTGAATCCGGGCCTTGCCAACTAAGATCGTTATCTTCATGTCAAAGCGAGCAATGCCGCGCTGTGCTGCCGTATCGGGCCACACACAACGAGCCTTCCTCCTTCCTGCCCGTCCCGTCCCGTCCCGTCGCGCTCGCCCTCCATAGCTCCAGTGCTCACTTCCTCGTCTCCGTGTACTTTGTTCTTCTGCCTTGTCGCGCCTCTGCCAACATCGACTCGACATGAGAAATTGGCGAGGCGGCTCTCGGACCCAGTCCGCGCAGTTGACCCGACACAAATCAGGCCGCAATCAATTACCGCCACTAGCACGGCCTCGGCTCGAATCAGCCGCGCTCCTCCGGTCTTGGAGGCATCAATGGCCTCCGCGCCCCCGAGTGGACCTTTGCGCGACGTGCTTGACTCCCGCCCCCTCCCGCTTCCTTCCTTCCTTCCTTCCTGCAGACCCCTGCTCCGCCTTAAATTGTTGTCATGAACAATAAAGCCATGGCCGATGCCCGATGGTCGCAAGGCGACACCACGAGAAGGCGAGCCTGCAATCGATCGGCTTCCGAGGTCGGTCTCGTCGTCCTCCGTTCTGCGAAGATGTCCGAGAAGCCGAAGAGCATCTTCGAGAACTCGCGAATTCTCGGCGTGCAAACGCGTGTGGAGCCGAATCCGAATCAGAGTCTGTTTCTGCGCTCCCGCTGCGCTTGAGGTTGGGTGTGGCCGTGGACCGATTTGCTCGCTGAATTTCCGACCATCCACGACTTTCTGCTCGAGAAGTTCGGAAGGGTGGAAGCCATGCCTGGTCACCTGTCCCTTCGTGCTCTCTCGATCACGTAAAGGCCTCCATTGTCCGCCATTGCCCGGCTCGCCTTCTCTGGTTTGGCACGAGCATTCGTTGAGTCGCAGCTTTCCTCGATCGCGAGCCTCGTTGATGTTTGGCATTGACAGAGACCCTCGGACCCTCATTTCCTTAATTGTGGAGGAATGCAGCGCTTTACAGAGCGCTCTTCAGACCTCGAATGGGCCGAGAGGGGAGCTGTCGCTTGTAAGGCTGTCACGGAATTTCTTGCGATTGTCGGTGTATGCCTTGCGGGCTCTAATGCACACAGACAGACACAGATGGACATGGAATCTTAGGAGGGCAACAGAGCAAGCCGAAGCCTATCTCAGAAATTTGTAGAGAGCTTTGTGGACCTTTTTCGAGGCCATAAGCTGACTGCCTGATGATGAATTAGGGTCGAGACATGGTCCACAGGACGGAGGGATTTATCGCATGCTCGTCTTCATTTCTTTCTTCCTTCCTTTCTGTGCTCGATGGACGATTGACGCTTTGAAATTGATGAGGTTCTCTACTCGATCAAAATTGGGATTTAAAAGGATATGTTGACTGGCAGGAACAATCCTCCTCCTCTGCTCGGGCTTCGTGTCGAAGTCGAGACCTTGTCCGTGCATATCCACTCGATCGACATGTATGTACAATACAATACACTCTCGGAGATGACTGACTGACTGACTGACTGACCGCCGACCGACCGACCTTCCATCGAAGACGAGCTGAGAGGAGATGGAAACCAGGACGCACATTCTCTCAGACGTGTCCAGAATAAATAAAACTCAGAAAGTTTCGTTACGAAATCGGGGCCATGAATTCTGACATTTATCCACCGATGCTTGGGACTAAAGTCAAAGCTTTCCAACAACCTTCTCGCACACAGGAGCTAATTTCGTCGTACAAAGTCTCGGGCTATAGAAGCATTCTAAACTTCCCATCTCTCTGCCTCTGCCTCGTCTCTGTCAAAACGTCATGTCTGAATTTGTCTTGCATAGAGGTAGAGGCAAAATCAAGCAAGATACGATGGTCATAACCACCACCAGCGTCGATGCAAAGCTTCGTTCACCTTCCAGTACAGCAACAACAGCATCATTTTCTCTCGCTAGTGTGGAACGATTCAAAAGCTTGTCGTATATTCAATCGCTTTCTCTCAGCAAGGCCGAGACATTCTGCCACTGGAGAAATGATAAAACTAACGGCCCTCAATCAGCAAGGCTTATTCTGGCGGGTAAGGAGAGAGAGAGAGAGAGAGAGAGAGAGAGAGAGAGGCATGCGTGCTCCGAGCATCAGCTGCAGCAACAGCCTCATGGAGTGCATTCATGCGGCAGGAGGAGAGAAGGCTCATGCACAATCCATCATTGGAGTCTTGTCTCCCCGTACTGAGCCTCATCATCATTATTTCTCGCATCAGAACTTCAGAAGCCACGAGAGAGGTGGGGAGAGGGAGAAAGAGAGAGAGCACCATGTCGCTCATTTCCCCGAGTAGCGTTCTTTTTGGACATGCAGGTGCAGTTCTCCCCGCTTGCAGTGCCTACGGGAACACGACCGCCATGGCCTCTCTTGAGGCCTACGGGCCAAGTTCAGCTTTCATTCCCTGCTCGAGTTCAGGCTTATAATACTAATGGGAGCCTCGGGCCTGGGGACAGTGAGCGTTTGCTGAAACGTGCTCGAACATTATGTACCCCAAGGGTCGATTTTTGCACTAGGCCATTGGCGGATGGCCTGTGGAGTGAAGAAACCGCTAGGGCTCAAAAGCTGTAATGCTTTTATTGATTGACGTAGCGCTGATTCTCCCGGACCACAATCCCAAGCCTCTGAGCATTTACTGCAATCTCATGATGTCATCCGCTGCGCTGCTGCTGGAGGTAGGGAGTCTAGCCTATCACAGACAGAACCGTACATCATTAGGGGTCCCCTCGACGCCTCTGGTCTCGATATAATATCTTATACATCGGCTTATACTGCCACCGTACTTCGCTCAGAATTAACTTCCTACGAGCAATCTTTGTCGCGTGAGGACTGGGTGGTGAAAAACCTCGAGCTCTGCCGCTGCCTCTTCCCACCTTGGGGTGAGGGACAACCAAGCTCCGGTTGATTGGGGCAGGACGAGGGGCGGTTCAGAATTTGGCACATGTGGTTCAAAGCAACAGAATGGTGTGTGTGTGTGCCCATAGTACAGAAGACGTTTTTTTATCTGAGAGTCGGTGAGCAGCCTGATCGAGCTCATGTGTGTGAGTGAATGTGCGTGAGAAGATCTGGCAGTTAAGAACGCCCGATTCTGGTGGTTCCCAGCAAGAGAGGCCGCAGTCAAACGAGGTTTCCAAGTAATGAAAGGAATGACTAACATCAAGCCAATAAATCTCATTAAGTTGCATCTGTAGGTAGTTCGCAGACACACAGGAATACGACGTGTACGCCACCTCCGTTTGAAGGATAATTGCTGCTGCTGACGATTATATTGAACAGAGACACCTACAGTGAGATGTAGTGGCATGTTATCTAGGACTGGACACTAGACAATCAGATGCCATTGAGTCAACCATTGGCCTATCTGGACGTTGTGGTTGATATGAGAATAACATACTTTTATAGTCTAAGAGCCTAGCGTGTGCAATGCTTGTACTTCCTTGTTTATGGTATATGATAGGGCACAACCGACGGCAACTGGAGTTGGTAAAATACTGCTCAGCTTCTATACATGTGACTTAACAGGAGCAATGTGATATCATTCCGACAGCTATCTCTGCGAGCGGTGGTTTGATATCAACTGTGTGCATGAAGAATGCCGACCATAACAGGCAATTGTATAAGAGAGCTCATATTCACTTTTTCAGGTAAGATAGTACATGATCGTCTCAAGGACTCAGCATGCAATAGATCGAGGCAAAACAATTTCAAGTCTTACGACTCAAAACTTCCGACTAAATATTCTAGATGGTAAGTAACAAGAAGAATATGATGGTAAACATGTGACGTGTCCTGCGTGAACTAAAACTGTAATTCATGAAACACGAGTTCATGCATCAATACGAAAAGGTTAGGAGCAGCAGAAACGGTGGAATACGCTGATCAGACCAGCTGTCGTACTGACAGTGGAGGGCTGACCAAGTGTGCAGTATGGAGGAACCGGTACGAAGCAAGAAAGCCCTCCAGTGACCATCAACAATATTTTAGCGTGAAGTTTCAAAGTCCTAAAGAACACTTGGCTCCTTCATCACTGGATTTTGAGGAGAGTAGGTTTCTGAACCGTGGGGGCTGAGAATTCAGAACCTAACAAGCCAAGGTATAGACGATAGTTGTTTTAAAGTAAAAGATGACTCTAAAGGGTGCATTCCAACATCGCTACTGAAGAATCTATGTGACATAATGGACCACACCATCTTACACCTAAGCTTCCACCTCTTTCGAACGCTTAACTTGACTTACATCGATACAGGTAGACTCCAATGCCTGATTTGAATGTACTAACATGGTTTCAGTGAAGATGAAGTCACAGCAACACTTTCAAAGGGCTGCTGGACATCTCTGATTCTCTCCAAGGGTTAGAGGTTCAAACTCGCACCCACATGCCGAGTGCCCTCGTCTATTGCAAGGACACGATTTCAAGAATGATGATACCTGGAATGAAATTTGCAGCTTGCTATACTAATGAAGGGGTTAAGAGGAAGTTTGGAAGCAATCGGTGCATTAACACACCGCAGAAAGGGCAACAAGGGGACGTGTCACTCTGACGCATATCATTTGATGTGATTTCTCGTAATTGAGACCTCAATGAAAGATCAAAGAACAAGGATGGGGCCTGTTGAATTGCCCTTCGCTCACAACACCTGCAGTACCACTGGCTTGTTTGAGCACAAACTTGCATTGATACACAACAACGCCGAAAATGATGCTTCTTATCTCCTTGGCAGCTCGCAATTTCAGGGGACTCAAAAGCCACAGATGAGTCGCAATAAGGGCACGAATCTGATATAGTCTGACATCTGTTCCGAGCATAAGAAGGATGCGATGTTAGTACACGTGTACTGGCAGGCTGATTGTCAACGTGGGAACTAAGCTTGGTAGATTCAGGCAAATCAGAAAATTAATCGACTCGTAAGAGAGGGCAGTTGGTCTTACAGGTTACGATGAGATCTTCGTAGCTGAGTGGCTACTTTCGACAACTCTGGCAACACCGATGACGAATTTTCAAGAACCCAGTTGACAGCCAATAGTGTATCGGACAATATGCCTTTTCCTACTCGTTTTAACTCTTCCTCTTCGTGTACAGCTTTGCACAGCCTCAAGTAAATAAGCCGTTGCCTAAGTTCGTGCTCGACTAGGTATACACACTTTCTCCATAACTTTTCTTCTTTGGTGACGGTGCTCGCTATTTGGGTAGGAGGAATATATTTTGAGGTACTTGTATTAATGACTTCAGGTTTTAAGTGAACGAGCAGAATGCGTCGATAGATGACATTTAAGATGTGAAGTTGTCGGCAGCTCGCTTCAGACACAGCCCTCTCAAAATTTCTTGCCTGGTTTTCAGGTATTTCCACGGCGCTTACTGCATCTTCGCCTTGAGTCCAGCTGATTAGCCACTGAGATAAAGTTCCTACGACTACTTCGCGACCTACAGCTTGTCTTAGTAGGGACAAGGCAGTCATCACGTCCCACAGTACTAGGGGTGCTTTGGGGTCCTCCAGATGCTGTAGAGCAGATACAACGCTGACTCTCCAGCGAGCAATGTCAGAAGGAGTCATGCCTTTTCCTTCGACAGATCCGATATTCCTCTTCGTTTCAGTAGGCGTGCTGCCCAACCAGAACATTTGTAAAACCGCCTTTTGAGATCTGCGCAAATCAGAAGACAAAGTTAGTGGTCAAGGAGACAAAGGAAAGCCTCAACCTGAATATGGTTGAGATTTCAGAGACGGGTTTGGTTCAGGGATAAGCCTTCATTCTAGACCCCGAAAGGGAAGGACGAGCTTTTAGAAAATGGTAAGACTTCAGATAAACTAACGACATCTAGAAGACTTCGAAATGGTGCTATCAGATCTTACCTGGCTTGGTACATTTGATCTAATACGTCACTATCAAGGTCCCGCACCTGTAGAAAAAGAGTCGGAAAGGTAAGTGCACCAAGGCGTTCGAATAAGTCTTGGAATGTTAACGATGGCAAAACAGCTGGACTAAAAATTAGACAAGAACAAGCTCTTGATGTTTACAGGGGTTGGAAAGATTGCTTCCTGTTCAAAATCGTGACCAGACAAACGTCAAATGTACCAAATTGCTTACAGTGGCTAACGCTAGACAGTTGTGAGACAGTGCCACACCGAAAAAAGACTGCATCGCGTCCGAGCTGCAAAGCTGCAATGTCAAGCCATGTGGTAGGATAAGGTGACTGATACGAAAATACTCATTGACTGAAAGCTGTAAGGATGAAGTATTCTTTATGAGCCTCCTCCCGTCAAGCAAAGGGACCAACAGAAAGATGACTGCAGTCATATACTCGCGATCTCAAACAACGATGTTGCTCATGCTTTCCCACTTACGCGACTGGAAGGGGCAGATCCGGTGTAGTGACTGTCTTTGTCAACTGAAAGTACGGCTTACTCGACTATGTGCCCAATGTGCATGAAATCACATACCGTCGCTTTGAGTCAAAACGAATACTTACATCCGGGCTAATTGAGATCGGGAAAACAGCACTCCAATCGGGGAAGCTTACTGGTCTCAGTTCCGCTTTCCAAAGCTCCCATATTTTTAAAGAATCCTGAAACAGTCGAACTTTGTAAGTAGATGCATACTCGTGGGGCTCACAGTCTCGGCTCACACAAAACTTTCATCCTACGCAGGAGTCACTAACCTGACCACAGGTGTAGAGACAGCGACCATCAAACTTCCACGACAATCCTGTCACCTGCAGTGGATGGAGTAGTGAGTAAGAAGGAGAGGCACATGATAATCACTGCCAACGATCAGTGAAAATCTGCTGAGGCTCATTCTGGGAAGTTAACAGTTTTCTCACCGTTTGCTGATGCGCACCATCGTGATGGCATAGTTGATGACATACACCAGATGACATGATCTCGTATATAGCCAAACTCCCTGAACCTTTTCCTACTGCTAGAAGTGCCCTCTCACTGGCTTGAGAAAGAACAACTATTGCTAATGACGTCACAGGAACGGAATCCGCTTTCCAAACCTGCCAACAAACATGAAGCTCTTATCAATTACCTCGATGAGGAGGGGTGAAGGACATTTACTGAGAAATTACACCAATTATTGAAGGGCATACTTAGCTACAAGTAACAGCGGACGTCAACGTGCTGAGTTTAAGCAAGGTCAGAACGTCAAATCCTCCGTGCCAATGACTTAGTTCTCAACTGTACATGTGGTCAGTTCTACTAACCCTAGCATGTAAAGTAAACGAAACAAAAGCAATGAAACTACCCTGTTCCAGAAAGAGTACGTTGTCCACTAGAGAAGATCAGCAAGTTATTAACATGCACGATCATTCTTTATGGAACCAAGGAAGAGAGGGAAAAGTCCAAACATCCAGGATTAAAACGCTCATCGGATTAGAACCATCAATGGCAATATGTACTGGCAAAAACTCCATAACCAGCATGCAGCAAATGGCGACAGATTGGACGAGACTGACACGGCACCTACTTGTTTGCAGAACGCAAATGGTGGAGATTGCTTGGAAGAGGCACTGACAAGCGAGTCTGGATGTGCAGCCCAAATTTTGACGCTACAATACAAATGACGACAAAACCGTGACCTTAGCACGACCGAAAACTTGCGACCTACAGTCACAAAAGCAGTGGCTTTTCAAGCTTGATTTAAATGTAACATAGGGCAAGAAAATGATGCAACTAGATACTGACGGCCCGGAGACCCACCTTCCATCCGCACAACCCGTTACTAGCAGCAGTTTCCCTCCGAGTACGGCACCAAATTGGTTTGAAGACAACATACTGACTTTCAACACGTCAAAGTTGCAGCTTGCCCAGCATAGACTTGTCACCCAAGACTTATGAGCTTCTAAGAATCCCAAAAAGCTAGCTTCAACAGGACTGTGTGTCTGATCAACTGAGTAGCAGGGAGGGTTCATCATGCGCCAGATACTAACGGCGCCGGATTTCATTCCAGCTCCAAGAAGGGTGAAAGTATGAGTTTTGTTCACTTCGGCATCATCCACCCTTTTTGTTGCCTGACACTTAGGAGACCAAGCTAGTGCAAGGGGCGACAGTAATTCAGAGCGCGCAACATAGTCAGCTGCAATCTTTATCTTGTCGTCAGGTTCTGTATTGAAACTTTTCTCCGACTTGGACCCAGAATTCTTTTTCGGAGCCTCCGACTTTTCTTCACTGGAATCTGCAACATATTTCGAGGCGTCTTCTGACCCTTCATCTCCGACATCTTGCTTTCCTGTTTCCTCATCCACACAGACAACAACGCTCTTCTCCGTCTCAAAGGTTGCCCTCTTTTCCTTATCTAAACCTCTGCTTTTGGCCTGAGTTTTGTTCCTAGGAAAAAATTTCCCTGTCCATGGTGACTCGCCTCCTTCCCTAAATCTATTAGGAAGTTTTCTCATCCTTGCAGGTCGTGTTGAGGTGTTCTCCACAGGGCAAGTATCTGCGTCTGGAGCGTTGGAAGGCGAGTAACTGCTATTACTATAGAGGTTATTGCCACCAGGTGCTTGTCTCCTTCCATAAACCTTCGGAAATCAACCCTACGACATGTTCAGTTCTTCAATTCAAACATAAAATCCAAAACTCACGTTTGAAGGCTCTTCAGGCAACCTATGAGAAAGCAGTCGGGGCAATGTGCGGTGCAGCTATGGAGACCAGACAACTACCTTTCTGTGATTATCGGTTCTGGTCAGAACGGAAATCAAAGGTTCACTGAGATCATCGTCCGCCTGGACGCTGACTGCAAGATCTCCAGCTTCATGAATACATTCTTGGTCTCTATCTCGCAAGTTTGACGTGGTAAAACTGTACTCAAGCTCATGGATGTTGGGGATCGCTTCTGCACAAAAGCTTTCCACTTTAGATATATGAGTGTCAGTGAAGGTTCCTGATCGGCAATTCGTCGGTAAGAATGATTACTTTAGAGTGCGGTTTAGGGTTTATTTGAAACCTCAACCATATATCTAAAGCAACCGATAGTAAATCCAAATATCAGATACATCGCAAAAGTCCCCTTGTCCACTTGAGAAGATGTGCAAAAATGTAAAAGGAATAATCGTTTCCTTGCCAAAGTGAAAGTAGTTCCCCTGTTTACTAAGTGATGAGGAAGAAACATGACTTTCGACAAAAAATGATCGCCATCTACTTACTCAAGGAGACCACAAAGTCTTCTCTTAATACCATCTCCAACCATACTGTTAAATGAAAGCAATATAACAAGGACCTTCACCTCATAACTTCTTAGCCTCAAGGTATGTAAGAGCTTGGTGTACTTTTGCAATTTGTTCTGCGTTTGCACTCTGTTGCTTTGATTGAAACGTGAGATTCAAATTTAGATATTGTGTGTAAGACTGTCAAACATATAATTTATGAAAAAGGTAGTTAAAGTCAGTGAGGTGTACCTGCAAGAGGCTCATCAAGCGTGAGTAAAAGTTCCCCGTTTGAAACGTCTAAATCAGAGCAGCTTACAGGTGGACATACGCCTGCATTCTCTTCCAGCACCTCCAATCCCAGGTTAACACAAAATCAGCTCCGCAATGTTCAAGCTTCTTTGGAGAAGTGGCATATTGAGTTCTCATGCAGACAATGCATGCAACAGGTTGCTTTCAAATTTGTCCACACATGACATTCCAAACGAAGCCTCAATATACCTTCAAGCGTGTGCCTTCTCTTCGAGTTCTGGTGGTCGATGTTGGAGCATTCATTACTGCTGACAGTTGTGTCGAAAGCCAAGGTCTTTCATCTGACGAGACTGTGTCTGTAGCATTTGATTTCCCCAATAATGTCTTGGATAAGGGTTGATCTGTTATACCCTGTTGGGCACAATCGTCAAATGGAACTACTTGAGGTTCACTCGAACTCACCATCAGGTCCATTCTTCCCACAGCTTTGTGCCTCAAGCTGCACATAAGACAGATGGAAGACAACTGTAGGTTATCAAACGAGAAATCCCTACAAACTGAGAACAGGCACACGGTCAACGTTTATAGGAACGAATCCACTGACTGCAGATTGTAATAGTTGGAAAAGGTTATGAAAAAATGCTTCATGCACTTGCTGACGCGCTTTAGAAAATATAAAATGGTAAGTAGCAAGAAAATAAACCTTACCCATAATTTCTGTTCTGCACTTTTCGATGTTGCGGTTCTTCTACTCCAGCATCTTCATCCACATGTTTCCGTTTTAACGACAAGCCCCAATCTGAAGGAGTAGGCATTGAATGATCTTTCTGTCAAGAGTACCACAGCGGATGATAAAGGTACTGTACGACGAAGGATAACGAACTTCCAGAGACTCATCACAAGTATTCAGAAATCTTAAGACCTATAGGTTGCAGTTACTTACCAAGGCAATCTGCGCGGAGAGTAGCTCACATTCCCTGAAATTTTCGTCCAGGCAGTGCCTATAAGCCATTTCTGAGAAGTCAATAATCTGCAATTTTCGATCACGTTACAACCATAGAAAGACGTACGAGGTATACAAAAGCATTGACGACAAGATACTAAGTTTTATTCGGGCATCGTGTCATAGAAGAATCAAACAGAAATTCTATCCGAAACGCTCGAGTAAAATAGTTTAACTTTCCAAACACATTTGAGAGTCTAACAGATATGCCGTCGGCTGATACCATAGCTCCCTACATAAGGTAGCATAAAGCACCCAACGAGGATTCCAATTACTTAAATGTATGTAAGCTAATTCCACGTCACGAGGCAGAAGGACTATGAGCTCGCACCAAGTAATTTAGCCAGAGAATATATTGTTCTAGAGAGTTAAAACGTTCTGATCCAACTTTCTGCTGGCCACATACTGGATTGTCTGAATCCACGATTATCGTACCTCCACCCAATCGGACTGGAAGTCGGAGAAGGGTTCACGATAAATCTTCACTCGGTTATCTGTCGTGCAAAGAGCTAAAAGGCACCTGCCAGATCTCGTCAAACGACATTTCTCAGAATCTCCATCCTAGTGCCGAAAAAACCCTGCTCATGTGATGATTTTGCTGCTCAGCCCCATCTCAGGATTTCCAAACAAATCCTCGCGCTTATCACCTATAATCACCTATACACTTTCCATAGATTGGAACTATCTCTTCTTCCTTCACCCTTGATTCAAGCTAAGTTTTAAACAAAGCAAGGACAGCAGGAGCTGAACAAGGCCAAGCCTTCAGCTTGCCATCGGTATCTCCATGACGAGAGTGGGGTGACATTGAGAAACCTACCCTCCATTTTGAGCCAACCCGGAGGGAGACCAATCCATTGCTCGTACCCCCGGACGTGGATCCCGGAACAAAAGGTACGGAAGTAGTGATCCTGCTTGTAAACCTACAACAGACAGGCATATGGAAGATAAATAGCCCGATATACGCCAAACAATCGGTTCAGAATTTCGAATGCATTGTACGATACCCAGAGTCTCGATGTTTTTGGCATGACAACTACTAACAAAGCATCATGGCACGTTCCTCAAAACAATCTTCAAATCCCAAAGTTCTCTTTCTCTCTTCCTGCGCTAGGAATACTTCGAATACTTCAGCTGACAATGCATCAAAATTGAATACAAGTATGTATTGTCTTACATTCTGATGGGGTCTTTCCTATGTCAAACAAAGGACTCGATGTGATAGGAATGAAACCCCGGGGACCAGCCAATGCTGCTGGATTCTGTCAATTTCCGAGAGTTAGACTGAAGCATACCATATAAAGGCAACTTCTGATACAATGAGGCGAGGTCTTCTGCACGAATGACTTTGAGGGCAGCATTCTCATCTAAGCAGAATCCACCAGCAATGAAGTGAGCACAAGAAACCATTCCGAGCAGCAGTGTAGTGCTCTTTGAATGCAAGGATGCAGCGGAAATCTATAATTCTCTATATCGCGGGTTGATGTGAACTGAAACCCAGCTCTTCAATCCCAATGCCAGGAAAAAAAAGACAGTTACTGTCATCGCCGCACGTGCACACCAAATGCTGAAAAAATTCCACACTTCATCCTCAGAAAAAACAAGGCAACTTACGAGAATAGTCACGAGATGGCCGGCCGCGACTGCCAAGAGATTGGTTTCTGAGAATTTGATGCAATTGGGAAAAACCGGCACTCCGACCAACGGGACAGCCTGCGATGGCGGGACTTCGGCGCCATCCACAACATCAGCCTTCATTCCCGCCATGCTCGCTTCTTGCAAAGCCTCACAGCACCGACCAGCCGGTTCGCAAGCAGCTCACCGTCGTACCATGTCGTCTCGAACCGCCATCGACTTCCGCATGTCCCTTCGTTCGCTTCTCTGCTGCGCACATTCGAACTCTGTCCGATTCTCGGAGCATTCGGTCTTCCCCACGGCCTCTGATTCCACTTCCTGCTTCGACGCGGTTTGCATCCGCGCCAACCGCGTCGAAGGACAAAACGTCGTAGAAGCTGCTACGTGGTTCCAATTCCGTCGTGAGCTCGTCCATGGTAGCGGAGCGAGTGAGGAATCTCTTGATGCCTCCGCTGCTCCAAGACGGGCCGGGCCGGAGAGTTTCGGGCAGAGCTAACCCATTTCGTTTTGCTATCTCTCGGGTGATTCAGAAGACCGTACTCCTTGATTCTTCCTTGATTGCGGTGCATTTTGATTTATGTTGTGATGCAGTGTATGCAAATACACCGCAAGTGGACTGTGTTATCATAATATCGGTGTTAGATATATAATGTGTTTATGGACAGGAGATAAGCGAGTTAAAATTTTGACTTTGTAGTTGGGCATACATTGCTTATGTGGTTACGAGGGTGATACATTGATGTATGATTAAATTAAATTATGTATGTAGCGGCGCACGTTTATAACCTTAGTCATTAAGGTTCATACTGACTCATATTATATTCTTTTTTTGATTTGATGTCAAGAGTGACATGTGTGTGTTGGATTATATCTTGAACTGTGTTTCCATAATTTTGGTGCGAGATATGAAACAAAAATTATTGGGCATCAACGATGCAAATGAAAACTTTCCACTGAATATATTTTTATGAAAAGTTTGACTCTAGTTACAACGAGCAGTACGTGCACTTCTCCATTTTGTAAGAGATTAATTGATTGAATCTCTTACATAATTATCTCTAAATATAATGATAATTGGACTTTATTTGCAAGGAATTCAAATAAGTGCCTAGTATTTATTGCAGCAGTGATATACATACATAATTCATATTATTATTGCATAATATTAAAGATAAAATGGAAAATTTGTAGTGAATATCTTAACTATTTCACCAAATTACTTAGAATTATACTTTAATGAAATTAGAAGCCATTTTTCATTCTGTGTGACAAAAGACTGAACTGTAATATATTTAAACTGATTTGAGTTGAATTTATTGCAAATTTATTTAAAGGGATTTTGTTATCATATTGAGGCTCAAGATATTCGAATGTAAATTATATCCATGTGAAACATACAAATTATTGATTTTCTAGTGATAAAATAATTTGCAAGACTTTTAATTATATTATTTTCAAAGAAATAGCAACTTTTTATTTTGATCATGATAAAAATAGTCTAGAAGGAAACAAGAATTATAAAAACTACACATGATACGCACAAGCATGTTGAGTGATGAATATACAGTCACAATTGTATAAAAGAATATTGACATTTTTTGAGTTCAGTTAAATCTCACATTTAAGCTTAGAAAAGAAATTGTGATAGATTCATGCAATTGAAATTCCAACACTTAATAAAGTGAAAATTCCTTGATCTCTACAAGAAAAGTTCATAGCTCTTCTTCTTTCAATTTTTTTTTTCAAGTTGATATTAATACTCTCCAAGTTTTTGTATCATTTGATTCTTAATCTTGTTCCATATGAAACCGTAAAATTCGGAATTTAAAAAATATTTTCAAATTATGGATGATGTATATGAAAAAATAAAAAACAAAAAATGACCAGCGATATAGCGCAACTTTCCGAGATTTGTGATATAAACATATGCACAAAAGTTGAACTGAGTAGATATTGTCTTGGAAAAATACCGACAGATATATTAAAAATGTTGTACTAAGTTTCAAGACCTAAATTCAGATCTTCTCTACTAGAAATCATGAATATTAACAACGGATGTTTCACAATCGTGCTACAAGGTTCGATAACTTTATTAAAACTGAACTTTTGTTTCCTATATTCATTAAGATTAACACTTCAACCTTTAGCTGGCAAATTTACTTACCCCTTATTGTCGGTTATTAGCAAATAAGCCTCGAAGAGCTTATAAAATTGCAATCCTTGGTCTATTTCGAAACTTAGTGATCCTTTCAAGGCGACGAAATTTCATCAGGTGGCATTGCTGCCACTATTTTCTCGCAGCTAAGGATCATTTTCATCACCTGTTAAAGTTTGATCCTTTTCAGTTGTAGTAATGTATAGATGGCAAAGAACTCACTTAAAGCTAATGTGACCACGAGATGAAGATCATGGTAGCCGTGCAAGTATTGCTCGAAGAAGAGTAGCGGTTCACTATTGAGTAGAGTTCTCCTATATTTATATTATCGCAGCCAAAAATGCAGCTGATATTAACACCTCTAGAATTATACTCGATATTAAGTAATTGTGGGATAATTAGTGTTGGAGTCACGCTCACCGCGCCTTTCAAGACCAAAAGGCACACCCCTTGGTCATTCCTTAATTGAAAAAAAACCTATGGCCTTCGGATTTTCACAATACAAATTACAGATGTATGTAAATATATGTTTGCTATTTGAATTTGATTATATGTAGTGTTATCTTAGGTAAAATTTCAAGAATACAACAATTTACACTCCAATATTTCTCATTTAATATTTCCGTTGTAGTATCGGTGACATTTGGATATCATTTTGGTTTATATTCAGCGAAATCAAAATACATATAAAATTCTTCTTGAAAATTATCATTATCTTCGAAAATAAACCTCAGATCTTCCAAAATCAATTAAATCTTAAATTGATTTTTTCTAACATTTTTTTGAATGATCTCTTGATCTAGTTGTGAATCTTGAATTCTAAATATTGTAATATGTTTTAGTTTGATTTATAAATAAAAATACGATTCCTACGGAAGAATGCGAATGAGGCATGGCCCCAGCCCTCGCCCGGCCTCGTTAGTAACGGCTCTCCACTTTGGGGGGAGCGCGAGACTCTGCCCTCCTTCAGCCACGCTTCCCCGCAGCCCGACCTCCCCGTCGTCGCCCCCTCCAGCTCGCCCGATACCGTACAGTTTTTGTCTCGTGTTCATACAAAAGATGAGTCTATTAAGACAGTCCAAAGCATCCGTCGAGTTGCATAAAAAACCTGGATGTACAGCTCCTCTTCTCCACCACTCTTCGAGCAGCGTTTTCCACCAGTCTTCAGAAGTTGTATCTCAGTCGTTGCCCAGGACTAAGGGTCACGCAAGTCTCTCGACGGTCCAGCAACTCCCGAGCCCTCCCTTGGGGCAAAAACAAATTGTTCAATATTGCTAGCGCTTTGAACTGCTCGTGACTTTCGTGCTCTTTTGCCGTGGACGCTGAAGGAATGATATATCCTTTCTTCAAAGGCAACTTCCCCCATTGGGAATGAATTACTATTATATCTTACTCTTATGTCGCACTCGACGGGTATTAGGAGCAATTTCTTTAACAAACGACGCTGAATTTGGCTGGATACCTTTGAGTGCCCACAGAAATTGTCAATCCCTCTGCTATGAGAAGAATAGCAGTTCTTGAACATACATATCCAAGAGAAAATAAGTGGTATACCCCTCGGAGACAAAGTTCGTGACAACACACAATTAACTATAAAAGTAAGGAGCTTCTATCATGCTTGTTATATAGTGTTGAATTCATTTGTAATAAATTTTCAAATCTTTTAATAGCCATTTTCCTTGTGAAAACAATTCTTTAAGTCAATCAATTTTGTTCTAACTAACATGGAAACTATAGATATTGACTATAAGTCTAGATAGTTTTATTAATTATGAAGAGTTAACTCAAACTTTGTCAATTTAGATAGTGTTATTCTAGTTACTAGAATTAGGGTTAATTTGATACTATGTATAAGAAATTGTTGTATTTTTTAGTATATAAGAACGTTTATAAACGACTCTTGTTCGTTGTTGAATTCGTTATTGATATTTCTAATTTTCATAAATCAATTTAGTGAAGTTTAAAAGAAGTAAAATTGATTCCATAAGAAACCAATACAAAAGAAAGAAAGTACTTCCATGAAATGAGTGCATCTCACAAGATCAACTATCAATCATCGGTAGAAAAACATGTTTCCAGAATTTGCACTCATCCAAAGCAGCATTATATGGTTTGGCAGGAGGAAATGAAACTTGAGCGGGAGCGGGACGGACCTCCCTGGTCGAAGCGGGAGGTCGGGCTGCGGGCCAGGGACCGCCTGGCATCGGGATAGAGCGGGCAGAGCTCGCGCTCCCACAAAGTGGGGAGGCCCTAGTGGCGAGGCTCGCCGGGGGCATGCGTTAGACGTTGTGCCTCCAAACCTAGGGGTAATCCTATTTTCTTGTGTCGACAACACACGTCTTGCCGATGAAAGTAACGTGGAAACAGTCTCCGACAGCGATTCAATCAAGAATCAAGTCAATAAGCAAGAGGAGACGAGACTCTTCAGTCATGGACGTGTGTCTGCTTTGCTCTCTGTTCCGTGAATATGTATAAGGATTGTACAGATGTTAAAGAGCTGACTTACTGAATGGTGTTATGGACCAGACCTCTTCTAGTTGATTGAAGGTCTGTGGTGGAGCTAGATAGCATACATTAGAAGTGCTGTTACTGAAGAGGCTGAAGCCTTTGATCCGCAATAACTGTAATATTTTCGAGCCCTCATTAGTTTTTTATTAGTTAGCTTGAAACAAGAGAAGCCATCACTCAACCATTGGACAGAGTGGGATACTCCACTGAAAGAAAACGTGTAAAATTGCTCATAATATATGTGTGATATCATATTTATGTGTGCCCGATGGAATTCGCGAATACAATCAAAAGTGCATGAACTTACATTGAATTTAACATCAAGTATTTTTTCTGCAACTCGGAAGAAATCTCCAAATTTGCTTTGCAGATTTGAATTATCAATTTTTTTGTGTCACAATCCTACATCCAAGAAAAAACAAAATACTGAAGAGATGGAATTCGGATCGGATTCCAATAGACAGCAATAGATTTTAATGCATTACTTCGAAGGTTTGGGATGTGGATCAAAGCTGTTTCCTGTTCTTGTTCGCCGCAGAGATATCTGTCCATGATGATCTCGATTCTCCAGTCTAAATCATAAAGTCTTCGATTATATGCTGGGCCTACATACTTCCATCAAAATTTAGCAAGCCTCTAGAATTTTATTACCCAACGTGCTCTGCATTTCCTGTCTGAGCTTGATGGGCAACGCTGGAGCTTTTGCTATTTCAAGCCAGTACATCCGAGGCAAGAGCTTAGCGAGATTCAAGGACGTCCCAGGACCATGTTGAATGTGACTCCGTTGACTTAGCCACACTCTAGCTAGCGTATTGGGTAAAGGAAATCGTCCGACCAAGCATGTTGCTTGCAGTCGACACAGAGGGACCAAGCTCATTGTCATGTGTACCTCGAGATTCATGTCACTGCTTAAAGTGCCCGACTGATCCAGAACTCGTGATAGAACGATGATCACGGCCACCTTAATGATATTTCATTCTTCGAAACCTTCTTTTCCATCGTGATCTTAGGACTTGAGGGTCCGTGACGTAAGAGTACAGGGGGAGAGAAAGCACGTGATACTTTCACCTCACCCAGCATTTCTCATCAAAAGTCCATTATATAAGCTGCAGACATTGCACGGAGTATGGCACCTCCTCTCGTTGCAACCTGTGGAGAGTCACCCTCATCTGCTAGCAATTCTACGACCTCCAAACCCAGCATTCATTGTGGAAGGAGAAAGGTTGAAAAATCCAGCCCCCGTGAGGAGCTCACTAACAAGACTAGCTGGTTTCAAAGTGTCACTTCCACAACTTACTTGGGCTGTTCAGCGCCGTAGTCATCTGGAGCCAATCGCAAGACTATCAAGATGTCAAATTCACAGAATACTGGTGGCAAAAGTATTGTGAAGTGCATAGGATGCTTGGACACACAAGATCCAGATAAACATCTGCAAAGGGAGCTCCTGGCAGCTGACGTAGAGATCAAAACAACGATCCTTCTGACCAAAAAGTACGTGAATGATGTAAAAGATTTTAGCTCGGTGATTGTTGACAATGCGCTGGATCTTTTGGGTCGGAAAGTGACACTTCAGCTCGTCAGTGTGGAACTCGATCCCAGTAAGTACCAATGATGTTCCTTTTCCTTTCTGAATGAGCACTTTTTCTTTATTTGGTGTTTACTGACCCGGGGTCTAAGCATGGACACCCATCTACTTGTGATGATGATTAAAAACTGAGAAGCACCTGTCTACCATCCCCTGTTGAAGCTCCTCGCATATCATTTTGAGGAGGAGATGACGATGCTTTCCAGGCATGCTTGAATCTCGCTATATATGTCTGGACGGATAGCTCGAAATTACAACACCTCGGTCCGAACACTCTGAGAAATTCAAATCTTTCCGAATATATCTTTCAATGGTGTATGCACCGTAAGCATGGTTTCAGAATTTTCAGATCTGAAGCTTCCAAATTACCTTCTTCCTGCCCGAAGACCTGTTCCATACTTGCAACACAGATTTCTAACTTAAATGCTTCTGATATGCTTCAAAACTTTTGTTCATAGCTTGATGGGGTCTTCCCTTCGTTTTTTAGTTCCATTTGTCCCCACCTTCCCTTCTGATATTCGTTATAACTCTTTTGCTTTTGTTCAAGCTTTTCGCCACGTAAGACAACAGGATCATGGAATATCTTACACCTTCTTGAATTAACCCCTCATTCTTCTTTCTGCTGCCGAATCTGTCCATGAATATACTTCTCTGTGATTGTCATTTCGAATGCTAGAAATATGGCTGTAGAAACTCCCGCCTACGACGGAAGTGCTTCCTCAGATTACAAGTGCATGCAGATCTCCCGCATGGCCTTGTGGTCCAGGATGCAATTCGTGGAGATATGTAGTAAGATATCGTCTGATACTAACAAATGTTGCAATCTTCACAGAGACAAACGGTCCAAAACTCAGTTCGACATTCAGTATACCACAATGGGCCCTCACGGACGATGTCAAACCTGACAACTCGTTCTTGGCCGTGGATAACTATCAATATATCGTTTTGTTCAAGGTTCCGAACGACTTTGGGGAAGTCGGTGCGTTTTTCATCAGAAATAATCACAGAAACGAGTTTTATCTGTGCGGTGCTACTTTGGAAATGCCTGACAAGAGCACTATTGAGTTCCTCTGCAACTCTTGGGTGTACAACACATCATTTTACAAACATGATCGAGTCTTCTTCAGCAACAAGGTACAAACAGAATTGACAGCTTGGAAATTTAGAAATACGTCTTCCTTATGGTTCATCACAGTGACTCCTGCCTCCCCCGCCTCTTCCATTTGTTCAAGTTCCAGGCACTCGGTGTCTTGGATGACAAACTCATTTCACACCCCAAGAGGTTCCTGTCACTCTGATGAGCCTCTTTCGTCCGTGGCCAGTTCGGCTTTCGTCTCGGAGTATCCAAATCAAGCTGAAATGTATCTTCATGCTGTTAATGATTGTAAGCTTTGTGGGGCAATTGCATGAAATGTGACAGATGTACCTTCCAGATGCCACGCCTCCAGGGCTGAAAGAACTCAGATCCCAGGATCTGAAAGATCTGCGAGGAGATGGTACTGGAATGAGAAAGGAAGGCGAACGCATTTATGACTACGACGTGTACAACGACCTGCAGCTTGAATCTGATCGTCGTCCCGTTCTCGGAGGATCTGCTCAGTTGCCGTACCCCCGCCGATGCAGAACTGGTCGACCAAAAGCGAAATATGGTCAGTGTCTGCTCATTAGGCCTCCTCGTATCCACAACACTGTGCTCCAGTTGCATAACTCACACCAGATGAGACTGACTGCTAACAGACCAGGGTCCATGTATGTTGACATCAGAACAAGGTTGTGCTAGGATGAAGCTCGTACTGATCATGAGGGTATCGAGCCCGAATCGTGCAGATCCGACCTCGGAAGCGAGTTTGAAAGACTCAGGAGTCTCGACCATCTACTTACCGCGGGATGAGAGGTTCAGCCGAGTGAAAAACTCGGGCTTTTTGGCGAGTGGTATCAAGGCGATTGCACATTTCATCGTGCCTGCCATCATCAGCTACTTCGACGACACACCGAACGAGTTCTCCTCGTTCGACGAGATCAAGTCGTTGTACGACACGGGGATCAACCTGCACGGCCGTCTGGAGTCGTCCAAGATCAAGCCCAAGAGCAAGGCGCCCGCTGACAACCCTTTCATCCTCCTGGACACGATCTTCGACGCTGACGGCCAAGATAAGAGCGTCATCCATTTTCCGCTCCCGGACATCGTCGCTCGTAGGTCCTTTGTCTTAAGCTTGTCCACAACTGTCAGTCGCCATTTGCGTGTTCAGCACCGTCAATGTCGCCGTCGACAGTTCCAGTAAGTGTGACACATGTTTCTCCTTCGATCCGTGCATGTAGTCGATGACAAGGCCTGGATGCTCGACGAGGAGTTCGGACGCGAAACCTTGGCCGGGTTGAATCCCGTCACGATCAGATTACTTACCGTAAGCATATGTCAATATGACTCTTCCCAGCTGTAGTTTCCAAATGTCTTTCCTCGTCCACGACGTCATGATCGGCTGATGGCTGCTTGCTCTAGTTCAGATACTCGAAACGGATTTTGTTCCTTCCATGCGCGAGGATTAATAATGGACCTCCAAATTTTCATTCTGCATTTCTTCATCACTTAGAAAGGATCCAATTGTTAGAGGTCATTGCAAAGGACGGCGCGGGATGCAATCCCAGCGCCGAGGACGATGTCACGTAAATCGTACATTGAACTGCAATGCTTTCGTTTCGTTTCAGGAGTTCCCACCCACAAGTGCCCTGGACCCAGCTGTATATGGACCTGCCACTGCTTTGCAGAACGAGCACATCCTGCCATACTTGGAGAACATGACCGTCCCAGATGTGAGTATATCCGTATCTTAAACCTGGAATTGCAGAAATGAATCATGTCACTTGAAAGTGAAGTAGAATCCGAGAACTTCTTCCAGAAATGCTTAGCTCCATCGCTCAGAGTTCGACTTAGAAAAAATGACGACGGCGAACGATCAGTGAGGGCCTCACAGTAGATCATAACCTCGGCCTTGTGTTAAAGCCGAGGTTGTGATCTGGGCCTGCTCAGTGCTGTGCCATCTGCGAGTGGAACTGAGACTTATCGAAAAGAGAGCGAGGAGTTGCCCAGATTGTCACGACCAGCCGCTAGAGAACTAGTCCTCAGACTCTGGAATCTCGTCTGCTGGCTATTTCTGAGTCTGAGGCCTTGGATCATATCCTGTCCTTACGTCGGTAGAATCGGTTTGAGCATCAAGGTTAATTTTGCATGTGCGCAGGCATTGAAGGCGAGGAGACTTTTCACGGTAGACCACCATGACACGTTCATGACCTACATGGACAGGATCAATGCACTGAAGGACCACGGAAAATCGTATGCAGTGCGCACCATTTTCTTCTACACCAGCAAAGGGCAGATAATCCCGGTTGCCATTGAGCTGTCCTTGCCTCCACCACCAGGTGCGAAGTCTGCTATCAGACGGGTTTTCACACCGCCTATAGACACGGGAGCAGGAGTTCAGACCGACTACTTGTGGGAATTGGCCAAGATCCACGCCTCCTCTTCGGACTTCGGAGTTCATGAGCTCATCAGCCATTGGTATCAGAACTTGCCCTCGTGGCTTTGTTATCCTTCGTCGTTTGGCAAGTGCATGTTTGCTGATATCAGTCGCTAAGTTACCACAAATCCTTTCGACATTCGTCATGAACGCCCTTTATTCCAAAAGATTCTTCCCCGAAACTGCCTACAAATTGTTTATTTTCAGGTCAATCTTAGCTGCTGCAAAATTGACTCATCGAACGAAGTAACCCTCAGCCTCTCCCTGAGATATATCAGGGGCCGAGCTAGTCAGCTCGAGCCCCCGTGCCGAACCCCGTTGGAGACAAGGGCACGAGACTGTGGTAAAAGGGCGGCTCTAATCTGCTCGTTCACCCAGTTCAGCACAAAATCGTGAATCATTTCCACAACGGATGACAAGCGCGGATCCCGCCTCGATGAGTCTCGAGAGGAAATCGTGAAATTGTACGAAAGTGCTATGGCTTAGGCTCTGAGAAGAGATCATTCGAGATCTGAATTTGTCTGTATTTGTATAAATTCAGGCTACGAGCGCATGCCGTCATGGAGCCGATTGTGATTGCAACTAACCGCCAACTCAGCCAGGTGCACCCCATCTTCAATCTCCTCTACCCGGTCTGCAAAAACACGATGAACATCAACGCAGCTGCTCGTGCTTCTCTCATCAATGCGGGTGGCCTCGTCGAGCAATTATTCACGCCTGGGATGTACTCGTTCGAGATGAGCTCTGTGGTATACGGTGCTGCTTGGAGGTTCGATAGAGAAGCTCTTCCGGAGGATCTCATCGCCAGGTATGTAAATTCTGAAGTCAACCTCTTTCTTTCTTGAATCTCCCACTCGGTTTAAAAAAGTCCAATTCTCACACGACAACGACGACGAATCGATGAATGTGATTCGCCTGTCCAGTCTTACAAGCAATTCCACTCCGACAAAACCTCTTCTCTGATTTTGCTCACCCTTTCTACGTGATCGGAATAGAAGGGGAATAAATACTTGTCAAATTGATCTTGCCGAGTGTGGACACGAGGCTCAACTTGCCAAAAGTCTGGGATCGAAGAAAAATGTTCACGGAAAAACACGAAATATTTTCGAAGAGCTGCATGAAGAGATTATGTGACAGTACATTGAGGATGCATGTAATTTGGGCTTCGAGGTAGCAGGTGATGCAGAGTTCGACCGATTTCATCACCTGCCAGAAATTTGTTGGTGCACAAAAGCTCATGATTCCATACGCGCTGATCGATAGCGGTAGGGATGAATTATCGATTGGTGTAGGAGTGTGAGTCCACATGCGAGACAGGCATTGTCTTCTAACCTGAAATTCGTCTCGGCCGAGGGCTGTGACTGCAGGGGAATGGCAGTACCGGCAGACTCGTCACAACCAGGAGGGGTGGCGCTGGTCATCGACGACTACCCATTCGCGAAGGACGGTCTGGACCTGTGGGAGGCAATTCAGACTTGGGTGTCCAAGTGCGTCGACATAGCGTACCCAACAAACGACGCAGTGCAGCACGACGCGGAGCTGCAAAGCTGGTGGAGCGAGATCGTGAACGTGGGCCACGGAGACAAGAAAGACGCGCCGTGGTGGCCGAAGGCCGACTCGAAGAGCAGCCTGGTGCTCATTCTGACCACGATATCGTGGATTGCAGGACCTCACCACGCAGCCATCAACTTCGGCCAGTACGCATTCGCCGGGTACACGCCCAATAAGCCATCGATGATGAGACGGCTCGTCCCGGAGAAGGATTCCGCGGAGTACCAGGAGCTCCTGGCCGACCCGGACGCCTTCATCCTCTCGGCCACAACATCGGAAACCAGGGCCACCATCGCCATGGCGCTGTGGGAGATTCTGTCCACTCACTCGATCGACGAGGAGTACCAAGGCCAGCGCCTCACCAGCAACTGGACCTGCGACCCTCGCCTTCGCGCTGCGTTCTCGGACTTCTCCGCTGCCATGAAGGATCTGGAGGCGAAAATCAACGCCAGAAACACCGACCCCACCTTGCTCAACAGGAGTGGAAAACCTCAAGTTCCATACACTCTCCTCTTCCCCTCGTCCACGTCCGGCATCACCGGCAAAGGCGTCCCTTACAGCGTTTCCATTTAGCCTGCTCGATCTCCAGCGCCGTTTGTAGTCCCCATCCGGCAGATTCGAAGCTGGATCTGTAATTACTGAGTCGTGTGCAGGCTCGTGTACGTACTAATTCTGGTCAGTGGAGCTTCTGTTGTACATGGTTTCGCGTATAGCCGAGAGCAGGCTAAGGGCTCCGCCCGGAAATTTCATCTTCCTCCACATTTTAATTGCCACTTTTTTCATTGTTCTTTGCGACGCTCATTTGACAGTGGAATCTGGGTCCCCTAGGTTCGGTTGTGCTTTGCTGCTCTGTCTTCATTACTTCGTTCGCTGTGGGAACGCCTTCTGGGAGCGGGACTCCTCTCCTGACCCACGGAGGTTTGAAGATACCATTTTAACTCTTTCCAATCCTAAAAATCAGTACTCGAGCTTTTGACGGCTGGGATGAGCACTTGTTACGTGTTTGAGTTGAACATGCTAGAAACCTCAAGCAAAGGAATAAAGGGTTCAACGAACTATTTGAATATATGCTAATCACACTTACATTAGATTTGTAATCAGGACATTGTCCATCATACACGATTTGTCATCTCTGTAGAAGAACTAATAAAAATGAATAATACTGTACAAAGTCCTCGTAGTTCTTACGAGGATTACAAAATCCTTACAAATTTACTTACAAAAGTACTTACGATTACTTACATGTAACTTAGAAGATGTACAAATCCTCGTAAGAATTACGAGGACTTTGTACATCTTCTACCTTTTTTTAAGGTCTTTAAAAATTGTCCGTTATATTCCATTGATAACTTGGTTATACATTCCATATACCGTTCCGTTGAATTCACACGGAAGGGCAATTATCTATAGTCCACTGTCTTGTCTCGGATTAGAGAGCGTCTTTTGCTGTCTTAATGAAGTTTCTTCAAATTGCAGTTTACATGTGTCTTACTCCTCCTGACTGTCAATATTGCAAGAATTTAATTTTTTCTTCTGATAAAAACTAGCAACGATAACTCGAAACCACTGTCTTAGTGTTAATGCCAAAATCAATGAAGACTTTAATCCATCAAAACTAATTGGAAATGTTGCTCATTGCTTCACTTTTACGGTAGACAGACATAGTTACATCCACAGTTCACTCCACCGAATAAAGTGAAGATGCTGGGCTGGCAAATTTTGATACTTAGCTACAATGCTTCGACTACAGAGTACATCAGGATGAGAGCCTTCTCTGCTTCTTGAACGCATTTCGAGCCAACCCTGAGTTCAGTTGAATATTACAGCCATGAATCTTCGTTCTTGATTCGGCTTCTTTTGCTTCTTAACTACAACTGGTGTCGACAAGAGTGAAGTTGAACCTAGAATCAGGTATTTACCCTTTCATCTCTCTGAACGCAGGCAGTGACACCGATGACGTTTGTTCTGATACTATACAGATCCTACGCAGTCATTCAAGAGCATGAGCGCCTTCGAGACTGCTTTTTAGGCCCGATTTCCACAAATCTAGGAAGCAGGTTGTGAAGACATGGTTAGTGAGATTCTTACTCATACAAATATGAAGCTTAATACTACACATTCACATACTTCAGATATCGAGGGAGTCCAGGTTTTGAAGATATTAGAGAATCCCCTCCAAAGAGGAGTACAGAAGTTGATGAAGGCTCTTCAGATGTCGAGCGCCGAAGAATAATAATCTAAAGCTGAAGATCACAAAACACCTCCTGAAGTCCTAGGCCTCTATTAACATATCGCCAAAGGTGATACAGAACATGGAGATTCTTGTCCTCTTCATGGAGACAATGCCACAGTTACTTTTCACCATGAGGCTGATATGGTAGACGAATTGATCGCAATTGTTTTGTGGCTCGAGCAGCAAAAGTGTGCACGAATTGAAGAGGTCAAATGAAGAAAGGCTACGGATTAAGAACCCCTTGGTGTGGCATAGTTAGAGGTTCAACTAAGAGAGAATGTTACAGGGTTTGGCCGTCCAAAGGAAATTATGCGGCAAAGTAAAAGAATTAATAGATATTGGCGCACAGGTGTTCGTTTTATGGGTGTGATGCGTTCGAAGTGAAGGGGTTAGGCCTCGTAAGGAATCTCGTGAAATCTTCTGGTGATACAATTAAGCACCAGAAGCCAATTCACGTGACTTACGAGATCGGAGACTGCATATGAAACGTAGGAAAAGCCTTTTTTTTTAGGAGATATTGCTCTCTTGTTGAAACACAGATACTAGCTGAAAACGAAAACATATTATAATCTTTATTCCCGTCCATTATACAGTTGTTGGACCTTGATCATGAATCGTTCAGGGATATTTTATCGAAGTTCAAGGTGACCACCCCCACCTATGAAGTGAAGGGCTTTCATCATGGTGACCTTTGCAACAAGACATTCTGAACACCCTACCCACAAAACGTAATTTTGATAGTTTAGCCGAACACTGATGTTCTTCAGACACACAACCGTGCGATTGACATGATGGCAAAGTTTATAAAAGACTTCTACTTGTGAAACTGTAAGGAAAATTTTGCAGAGTTTTATATTGCATGAGCGTAAAACATATGCTTGTCAGTTGCATAATGACATTGTAAAATCTTCAAAATCCTAACATGTCAAAATTCCACAACGAAGGCCTCTATTCATGCACTGCACGCACACCCAGGCATGCCCACCCTTCTCTAAACTCAAGTATTTCACCTGATACAACTTGAAGATTTCGGAATAGCGATTTTGAAGCTGAGGCGCAAGAGTTTGCTGAATCCTCAACCATGCTTCTTGTAGCTCTTTGCTTTCCCCACCTGCTAGAATTGCCCTACGATCATCATCACTAATACCGTAGAGTTGAACGATATTAGATTTTAAATCTTCCCAGTCCGGAATCGCTTGGCCCAACCCGAAGGTCACATCCAGTCCAGCCTTCACAGCATAATGCATGACTTTGTAAGAGATTTCAACAGTTTTCCGAATCCACAAGCTATTCTCCCGATCCAAGCGTATCTTCAAACCTTCTTGATCATTTACAGAGTGAAACCCAATCATAGACTCACACATCAAGTGTAAACGAACGGTTTTCCCGACATGTAGAAGTGCACTCATCCTGTAGAAAATGCCAACATCATCTGTGACGTAAGGTCGCTTTGGCGTTCTTGCCACCTGAAGCTCTTGCGAATACTCAACAATCATGTCCACTCTAGACATGAAATCACTCAGCGTTGACTGCAGTTCTTGCTGCAGAGAGAGTATCTGTCCCATCTTCATGTCCAATCTCTGCAAAATGTTCTGCACTGATCTTAGCCTCTCATCCAAACCATCAACCTTTTGTCCCAGCAGATCAATCTTCAACAAAACAAGTCGAGTTGAAGGACTTTCCACACTTGAGGTGGCACGGCTTAAGCACCTGGATGTGCGTGGTTTCCAGTCTTTCATTTGAGCTATATTCGAGTTACTAACAATGTCTTCAGCTTCAGGATAACACTGAGCCAAATCATTGTTCAAGCTAATGAGACCTTCCTGCAATGACTCCAACTGTTGAATTCGTTTCTGTCGAATATCATTCACAATCGCTTCCACATCGCTGTCCCACAACAAATCCCTAGCTCGTTCGGATATTCTCTCTGTGTGACCTTCAATAGGGGGCCAACACTGCTCATAGAGGAACAACTCTTCCTTCTCCACCAAGTGCAAACTATCCAGCGGAATTTCCTCAAGTTTGTCGTTGATGCTACGAATGAAGTCCGATTTGAGCTTCTCGATCAGAATGGCTCTTCTGAGATAACTTGGAATCAGCATCTCCACACAACGTGTTTGCATCACACCCAGCACTAACGCCACCCCGGGACAGCCTTTGGGTGATGCACAAAATGATATCAACTCCTGGACGATATGCTTCATCACATATTTAATAGCCGCCTCCCTTGACTTCTGACTCGAGCATAACATCAGAACATCTACATATTTGTGAGACTTTTCACTCTGAACATGTTCGACATATATCTGGTGTCCATCAAGGAAAAGTTGCAGATAATGTCGAGAGCAAGTTACATTCTCCTTGGAAACATCCATCTCAGAGATCAACTTGCGTCTCATAAACATCTACAATGATAAAAAAATCGGTACATAGTTAGTGGAACATTCAAAAATTATGATAAGGAAACATTCCATTCATCATACACAGTTGTCAATCGGAACTTGACACATCCAATATTGTTAGTGTATATGAAATCATGATTCAACCTCACCTGGAAGCGTGGGAAAAAAGCAGCCGTTAGTGACATTGTTCTTTCATCTTGGCATTGAATCCGAATGCCGACAAACTGTGAAGTCTTACTCATATTTGCCCAATTCATCGACTTCGCGTGCGCCCCTTCTTGATCATTCTTTTCCTCGTCGCTTGCATGCTCAGGGATGAAGGAAGGAATGAAATACTGAGAAGTATCTTCGAGCTTGAAACACAAATCTAAATTGATAAGGATGTTTTCAAGCACCTCTCTGTCCACATTTTCAAAGCATGGTTGCTTTCCCAAAAACTTCTCTATCAGTCCAGCAAAGACACTCTTGCTCACAAATCCGTCCTTGCTTGCATCTGGGCTCAATTCATAAGAAGTCTCGAACTCTTGAGCTTGAAAGTGTTGACCTAAAGCTACCAACTCACCCAATAATGTATTGGTGAGCCAGTTAGGATCAACAATGATATAATCGAGGTTAGGAATACAAACTATGGATCCAATGTCATTCAAATAGGATACAAGTGACATCTTTATCCTTGAATGATCAACAGAGTGAACAGAAGATGGTGGAATGGCTTGCGTCAGGATGGGAGTACAGAAATCACGAAACTTTTCAGATGACCAAAGCGGGCAGCTTCTATTCTCCTTGGTAGTTGTTGCGAAGAGGGAAGTGAGTTGAGAACACAGTTTGGGAACCCTTGGAGATTTTTCACTCAACAATTTTTCTAAGCTCTGAAAAATGTGATTTTTGAGAGGAATCACTTGTTTCCTCTTCCGAGTATCCACAAAACAACAGTCCTCAATAGGGAGGAGATCCACAAAATTTGCGAATCTTTTGGTGAGTTCATCCACAATGGAGTGAGCCCAATTCAAAGAGTTGGATATGACTTTATCCTTGTGTGAAATCACAACAAGAACTTGTGGAAGATTATGTCCTGTGCACTTAGTGCTGGATGTGATGAAACTCAACCAATCTTCCAACTCATCTCTGAAACAAGACTCTGGTTTGCCAAAGGGGCTATATACAAAAATAAAAACGCAGAAATTGTTGGTTTGAGGAAAAAGCACATTTTGAAGGGTACGAAAAATCCATTGTCCCGCAAGATCCCAAATTGAGATTTGCATCTTGTCATTGTTTTGCAAGAACTCCACTTCGATTCCTTTGGTCCTCCGCAATGCGCACCATTTGTTTCCTAGCCAACTTTTACCTTGGATTATCCTCATCAATGTTTGACGTAAGTGAGTCTTGCCTACAGATTGAGTGGACACCACAAGAAATACAACATGTTATTGAAAATGATTTTATAATTTACTTGATAGCATATCTATTGAATATATTGTGTAGAGAAATAGTATCTGAATGCTTTCCGAATTTCACAGCAAATTTTGAATTTACTAGAAATATATTATTAATAAGTTGAAGTTATTTGTATCGGATTGGCTTTTCCGTTTTATTTTTCACAAAATTGTATATACATCTAGATCATAAAATAACCAACACCTTAGATTGCTAGTTTGCATTCATTGAGAAAAAAACTGAGAATTTACAGAGCACCTTACCTGCTCTAGGAGAGCCGCATAAGAAGAGTCGACCAGCTTTTGCATCTCCAAATGCTAATCTGGTTTCTCTGAAGACGGACATGTACACGGCCCGCTTCTGGTTCTGCTTGAGCGCCTCTTGAATCTGCGCCGCCTTTCCGTCCTTCGCCCATGAGGTGTATGAGACGTCTATTTCCTGGAGAGTCAAGTTGACTTGTAGGAGCCCCATCAGGTCCCTGAACGCCTCTTCGTCGAGTGTGAAGTGATTCAGATCCAAGTATGTGAGACTTGTGTTCTCACGTAAGTACCAAAACAGTTGCTTCCATATTCCCTTGAAAAGGTTTCTGGCTGAATCACGTAATGTTAGACTCTTCAAGACTGAAGCTTCTCCAGTTTTTCCATTCATCGGGAGGATACTTTTAAGTGTATCTTGGTTGCTACCTGAAGTGCGAGGATGTCTCGCCGATAAACTGAAAGATTTTAGAGATCTGATCTCCCCGCGCAGTACCCTACCCAATAGGTTTAATGATAACATCACTTCGTGGTCACTCGGAGTTGTGAGTACAAGATCCACAGTGGGGTCCTTGACATCGGAACTAGCAGCACAAGCAAGAGCTTCTATTGACTTCCAGTTATCTTCAACATTTTCGTCTAAGTAAAACTCTATAATGATATTTGCTGCTCTAGCATGGTCACGTATGGCTTCGCCTAGCTGGTGCCATTCCTCAGGAAGCATCCGCAAGGAGTTCAACCTCACTTCCTTCAATGATCGGTTGGAAATCAGAAGTTCTCGTATACAGTCTCCGAGTCGATCCATATTCTCCAGCAGAAGACGTTCGATGGATCGGTTGCCATCATCTCCGGCCAATGCTTTCAGCAACAAGGATGCTCCCCACTTAACATCAACCAATTTGATCTCTTTCAAAGACGAGCTGTGCAACAGAGCCTGGGACAGGATTCCAAGCGCCGCCTCATCCATGTCGTCTATTCCGTTCGAACAGCTGCCTAAACTCAGCTTTCGTAATCGAGTAGCACTGTTGATCATGTCAGCCACATGCTTCACTGCACTCGAGTCCTCCCACGCGTTATGCAGGTCTAAAGACTTGAGTTTGGATTGGCAATTTTCTCGTAGTCCTGAGGCGAGATTCAAGAAACATCTGGCACTCAAACTGCAATTGACTATTGTCAAATCTATTACGCTAGAGGTATTCAGAATTCTCCCCAGCTGGAAACACAAGCTTTCCATTTCCGCATCTGAATTCCACGTCAAATCCTCAACTCTTATCACTCGTAGAACGGTGCTACATCTGAAACCTCTCAGAAGTACCTCCCACTCGCTAGCCGTCAACCTCGAGATGTCTCCGCCGAAAATCACTTGTATGTCCAGTAATGTAAATGTGTCGCAGCTGCCAATTGCCTCCAGCACTCGAAGGCGCACTTGGCCTTGCCACCCTACGATCGTCGACGGAGAAGCACACGCCGGAAAGAAATCCCGAAATTCTGGCCCGCTTAATTCGGGAAGCCAGACTTCAACTTTGCCTTCCAGACGCCGTATAAGGTCCTGGACAGCGAAGGGAAGCTCCGGTTCCACGTCTGCAGATTCCATTCCCCGTGTGGCAAGTTCGGCAGCGTCACTAACGATGGACAAACCTGCAACTTCCATTCTCTCCTCCACTCTCGCAGAAGAAGAAACGCACCCCCCTATCCGAAAGCTTGTTTACCCGAAGAATATTTAACTTCACGTCGTGTGCATGTGTTTGCTGGGCATCAGACCTCGCGTTGCAACAGCGACGCACAGAGTACTCCAAGCTTACTCCAAGCTGTGCACATACGCGAATCATGAGCCATCACAACAAACCCAGGGACATTGTGCAAAATGGAAGCAGGAGGCGATGTAAATCAAAATGAACGCAAACAACCATCATCCGCAAACAACCATCATCCTGGTTCCAAGGGAAATTGAAGACAGTGCAAAGCAGATTTACGCCTCTAGGTAACCTAAACATAGTTTGAACTCTTTGACTTGCACTAGTGACAGATCTTACCTGGACAACCTGATAGCTTCGTAGATCTGAAATCCAAAAGACTCGATAGAAGCAAAGATGGTGCGATGTGGGCGCAGGATTTCATGGAATGAATGGAATCGCAGATATCTCAGATGTGAATACTTTGAATCCTGTAGAACTGAATGTTCAATCGGACTAGGAGAATGCGAATTTAGCTGTATCAAGACCCCCGGGAGAGAGACCCGGGTAGAGCGTGGGAAAAACATGCACCGGCTTCAGTCAGATCTTCTCATTGAGCGGCGTCAGCGGCAGAGGTAACGACAACATGCGAACAGAACACGCGTGTTCCTCTGTACTCGGTGTGGAATTTTGTCTAAGAAGTTGAGAGTAGATATTGACTTTGTTGTGAAAGTGAAGTGGAAACGTGGGTGAAGGCATCAGTGTGCTGATCGAGTGTATCATGATGTCGTCACGCTAACAACAGATATTTCAAAGTGAATCTTCGTACGATCACGTGGATTTATTCTGACAAATAGAAGGCACATGGGTAGTCAGCTCGGCGGACAAAGCCTGTCAAGCTCTTTTCTTGTTTTGAAGATCGGTACAGTAGGCAACAGAACTCTACATGACTCTAAGCTTCAGAACAAGCTGATAAACCTTTTGGAAGTTTACTAAACATAATGTCTAAGAACTGTATACAGAGAATACGAGTACTCGAGGTTCTCAACTGATGGTATGATTGTTCTTATAGCTCAACTGTTAAGCCTGTGAACGCATGCACAGTTTAATACCAGAGTCTGGAGGTCTTTCGACGTCAAACATTAAAAAGAAATTAGGTTTCGTCCGTGCTCAAAGCAATCCTGCTTATTTATCTCGTCGTATAGAACACGATAGAACCAAAATGATACTTGCTAAGGTCAAAGTCATTCCTCTGAAGAAGTTACGTTTTTCGAACTTGCTTGCGAGCTAAGAAAAACTGTGTTGTGTACATAATTTGAACAGTACTTCAAATTCTAAATGGTAGATAACAATGAGTCATGAGTTGAGCTGAAACTCTCGCTTAATATTTGAAAGATAAGACTAACTTATAAAGGAAATTCAAATATTTGATATCTTTACTGAAATGAAACAAGTCATACTGCAAATTTTGCAACCGTTTGCTTAAATCATAAATCCAAACATGTCAAATGAAAAAATTAAAGAACATTGTTCAACTGATATGATCGTTAAAACTGAAACGTGTTATTTCATGTGTAAAGCATATATTTTTGTTACAATATTGGAAATTATGAACAAATACCTTTCTATGAAATGTGTAGTACGATTTGCATCTTTAATTGACTCATACGAATTGTATCATTGATTGATTTTCACTCCTGACCCCCTATTGAACTTGCGCCAGTTCACTCCATTGAAGAAAATGAAGATGCTGTCAAATTTGATACTTAGTGTGGGAACTGAGCTAAAAAGTACAACGCACAAGACAATGTATACTGTTTCTCACTTCCGGCATGTAGTTACGCCAGCTCACTCCACTGAAGAAAGTGAAGATGCTGGGCTGGACACTTTCGACCTCTTTAGTGGGACCTTAGTTGAAAAAGACCAATGCCTCGACCGTAGAGTCCATCAAAATCATGCCACTGTCTATTTGCTTTTTGAACACGCATTTCGAGCAAACATTTAGCTCAGTTGAATATTTCAGCCCTGAACCCTCGTCCTTGCTTCGGCTTCTTGACTGCACCCGGTCCCGACAAGAGCGACGTTGAACCTAGAATCACGTATATACCTTTTCATGATTCCTTACTCTGTCCGCAGGCAGTGACACAGACGTGGTGAAAATGAAGTTACGTAGTTTGTTGTGATATTATGCAATTCCTACGCAGTAACTTCATTTATCAAGAACATGAGCGCCTACGAGACTGCTTCTCAGGCCCGAATTCCACGGATCTAGGAAGCAGGTGGTCCGGTTGGAGTACGGTTTATTATTATGGAGCTACTGGGGTCCAGGGAAAGGAAAATCGAATCGGACGTGACGGCCGTCTTGATGCTTGATCCTCTGGATTGCAGCCAAAGGTTCTCAGGACAAATATTTTTCACCATGTGGGTATAGCTACACCGCTATCACTTTGCTGAGTTCAATATAATAATGTTTGGAAAGTGTCTCGTTGTTACATTGAGAAAGTGGTTTTCCATTGAGCACCCTGGAGATTCCAGTGACTCTATTCAGTGTACAAGTAACAATTCCACCAGGGATGGGTCTCCGGTAAGCGCTGCGAGAAAAAGAAATCCAGGAACGAGTCAGAGTCACTCGAATTCACTTTATGTAATTCAGTAATAATATAAAGTTGTGGTGACTCATATGCAACTCTAGTTGACGGTGCGCCACCTGCATCGTCGGAATACCCCGCGTTTCCAAATCTGAACTTCATAAACCAGGTGAAGATGATCGCCACAGTTTTCCATTGTACATGAACCTCAAATTCCAGACTGTTGCGGATCATCTCTGGTGTAAGCTCGTTCCCTGGACTATACCTTTCAAAGAGTAGCCAAATAGTCTATAAGGCCGAATTACAAGACGGCCTCTTTCTCTCTGCTTGTCTAAATTATTTCCAAATTTGTTTTTGTGAATTTGGACGTTCAGATTTTCCATCGCCTATAACCGAAACGCAAATAAAGATTTAGTATTCTGCACCACGTTGCGAGGCATCCTAGAATTTACGAGTATCAGCAAAATGTGCATTGAGCAAAACGATTTGCATCTGATCATATCTTGCTGGATCACGCGATAGACTATGACAATTTACCTACATTGACTAAAGACAACCGGGGATGGAAGAGTCTGTTGGGCATATCTTCCTTGCTCCAATTTGACTGTCGGTGCAATTGCCAGCAAGAAGTTCACGACATAAACTTCACCTGGAAACAGACACCTTTTACCTGCAAAGATCGTTTTCCGGGAAGGTTTTCAGAAAAGCACAGCAGACCTGACCTTGCCCTTAGACGTGGATTGTTCGCATGATCGCATTTCTCAGTGTCGATAAAGGATCCATGAAGATTAAATGCTGATGATGATGGATGACTTACTCCAAAGTACTGAGTGAGCAATGTCACTAGATCTTTAACGAGAAGATATTCTAGTCCATGAATTCTAGGGTTAGGTTATATGTTGTGTCTCGGTCTGCAACTACTTAAGTGTTGCTGTGATAACCAACAAATACCAAAATGGAGCATAATGGTAGAGATTTGTTCCCACAGAGACAGACGCAACACCAAGAATCACGATTTGTCACTGATTAACAGTCTATTGATGAGTTTTACTTCTTAGGCACATGTTATTCCCACAAGACATTGCTCAATTACGGCCGAAAGCCCAAAGAGCAGAGTAGAATCACACTCACAACCTAAAATTTCTCCACTCTACATATGTGGGAATCGCCTGCGACCCCACACTTAGATTTCAGGGGAAAACTTCCCAAAATTGCATATTTCCAACTCACTGACTCGAATACCCAGACCCGAATTTGCTTAAACTCCGAAGAGTCCCCGGCTACTCAGAACATTCAAGTTGGACACTCACAACTTCCGATGCAATAGCTTCGACAAACAGGAGCGCACTATGCTCAATGACAGGATCACACACTAGCACACAAACACACAGTGGATATAGGTTTACAGTCAAGACAAGCCAATTGACAGAAAAGCACCCCAAGGAAAGAGCCTTGGGCCTCTTTATTCACAGTGATGGCCATGGAATCTCAACCGCCTGAGGTGAACTACTCTTAGGTGCGGTGCCATCTGACGTAGCGGTTACAGTGTCCTCTGAACTTACGTCTACTCCTAACCTACGCAAAACATTTAGTATCTCTAACTCTACATTCTCCCGCACCTCTACCAATCCATAAGAAGAAGAATTAACTAGTTCTATCATCTGCTTGTGCCCTGCGGATCCGCTGGTCTTCGCGCTCATCAAACGCCGCTCCAACGAATCTAGCTTCAACCACTTAACCGATTGCAATTCGCACAATGCAAATCCCTGCAGGCACTTCTCAACTCGTATGCGCAATTCGTTGGTTGTCTCATCCCGCAATGGACGGTATGCCGCCTCTGCATTATCTGCTCTCCTCTACGACATTTCTGATCTCAAGGAAGCCATCTTTAACTGATTCTGTAACTGTCTCTAGTCCAATTTGACCTTTAATCTATATCCGACCTCTGAAGATCTGGTTGCCTTGCAATTTGTCAATTTCTTGGCCCAATCCGTCAATTCTTCTTCGTGCTATCGGAATTCCTCCGCCAGACTTGCCTAAGCTCCTCCGCGCGCTTGAATTCCTTCTCACGATCGTGCGTGAGCTCCGCAATTTTGCTACGAAGTTCTTCCTCTTCTGTCTTCGCCGCAGCAATCTTTCTCCGAAGATCTTCGGCGATTTGCGCATCTTCGGCTCTTCGTTCTTCCACCTTAGCTAATTCTTTGGCGTGCATCTGATCACTTTTCCCTACAGCTACAATCAATCTCTTCCTACGATGCACTTCCGCAGCATAGGCTTTCTTAGGCGTTTCCAATCTCCCGCACAACTCCGTGGTCACCTTCTATACATTTTCGTTGGTGGTACGAAGACTGATACAGCCCTACTCTAATGCCGCACGACGATCGGATTCCTTCTCCAAGTTCAGTCGTAGCACCTCGCACTCCATCTCCTTTGCACGAAGTCGGTCTTGCTTGTTCCTGCAATGCCGCCTTTGTGGTTGCACACTCGATGTCAAGCTTGCAACTCGCTTCTTCGCCATCACAGTTGCAGAATCCCATTCCATCTTCACTGCCACTGCCCTCTTGAGCTTCGTTCTATTCTTGATCAACTCTACATGAAATCTTGGTTCCCTTGTCACAGTATACTTTTCACTCTTCTTGTCCAAATACTTCAATAAAGGTACTACACTATCCTACAAGAAATCAGGGAAGGAAACCTCTAACTTCTTCGGTTCTTCCTCTAAGGTCTACACTGCTACCTCAGATCTTACTTCTTTCTCAGGCGGTGGCGGCACTGGAATATCCATGATGTTTCCTACCGTCCCACCTACCTGTGCCACAACCTGTTCAAGTATTTCCTCACTCACCGTGAGGAATTCACTTGTCTTCGGTTAAGGTACATCCTCACTCCCCACAGATCGCGTCTGCTCCGAAGATAGAAGACTAATACTAGTTGTGTCCGTCCTCTCCTGCGAAGGTTCCTGGAATTTTGGCTGATACCGCCAAAATTCAAAGGTCCTCCTTCCACCACTTGAAGAGTAGGCTCGCTATTATGGTCTTCGGCTGTCGTTGCGGTTGCTACAACTGTCTTCTCCACACTGCTGTCTGAAGATTCTGTCACAACCAACTCACAATTCACCTTCCTCTTCGGCCTTGCTCGAGTCTTTGACTAACGAATTCCGTCT